TCTGTCATTTTCCGCGCTCAAATATAAAGCTCGACTCCTAAATAAATGAAATTCGCTTAGGTTCACCGACTCAATATTTTAAAGTGAACTGCGTTTACCACACATGGTCCTGATCTGATTTACAAAAACTTTTGAAAACCACTATATTGTGTGTTAAGTTTTTTCAACTGTAAAAAAAGAACAATAATTTATTCTCAAAATATTTAATAATTTGAAAATAATGCACTAAAAATTTAACTATCAATGAAATAATGATTAAAAATTCCACTTGTTGTCACTCACAACTGACCAAACAAAGCAACAAAAACGCATCCGAGCGGCAAATTAGCCGAGAGGAAAACAAAACGCGCGCGCACATTCAGCATACTGATGGCGTAATGAATGCTCGGCGCGAGAGTGCTAATTATTAGGATTATTAATCAATTACAGCTTAGCCGGACCCCCGCGCGATCGTAAAATCCTGACTGGCGTTCCTAACGAGCCGATTCGCAGAAGTGCACAAACATTGTGTGGTGCATGGACGCCTTAATGCACCGCGCGCAAAATGACAATGCGGTCTACTTTGCATGCACATTATGTGGCCGGCGTGATAATTGCGGAGGACGACTCGTTACGTCATCGCCAGCATTATGCTCTGTGAAAGGGGATGAGAAGCGTTTCAGGCAGGGGTGCGTTCAACGGCGTGTGAAATTACAACTAATTGCATTAAGAAAGGACAATTTTGCAGCCGAGATTTCGTGGAAATCGATTTGGAATGTACGAAATTATTGAATTAAAATTTGCACGATTCGGTAATTGGAATTTTTGTTCTAGAATATTAATTATTCAATTAATTAGGATTTTTTTTAATTTTCCCAGCAAAATTGAGTGCAAAAAATTATATTGAAAACACTGTTTGCCTTAAAATTGGCATGCTCACAGCAAATAATGTAAATAAGCGAGCAATCTTGTTCAAATATTATAATTGTGTATTTTAAAATGTGTGGGAGATTCAAATGATATATTATTTACTTATTTGGGCAGTATTCATTTTTGCCAAAAAAAAAGAAAATGATAAAAAAACACCTACGGCAGGACATTATACTGGCTAAAAACTCGAATATTGACAAAAATTATAAATGTTTGCATCGATGCAAATGATTTGCTGCCATAACACATTATTTCAATACATAGGACAAAAAACTTAAAAATTCTGACTACTTTTTTTAGACTGGCCTTATTTTTACACAAAAAGAAATATCGAAAAACAGTCCAGAATTTGAATTTCTGTCTATTTCCTTCCTCTACACGTAATGGGCGTCACTTGAGAATACATTCGCGGAAAAGCCAGTGGCGAAAGTTTTTGTTATCGCAGACAGGGGTGTATAGAACACAATGAAAACCGCGGAACAAGTATAGCGTAAAACAAAGGATTGTGTGCGGTGGTCGTATTTAATCGCGCACGCCTCATCACCGCGGCGATTCGGAGAAATGTGCGCTTAATGTCTGGTAAGCATGCCATTTTAAGGTTATTGGGAGGTAGCGATAGCCAAAAAATAACATAAGAAACACTGCTAATTTTTAACTGAAATCAACAAAGGGCGTTTAAATAAATAAGTTCCGTGCCAAAAATTTGCTCAAACTTAATTAAAAATTAAGTTAATTGAGCTTTAATTACAACATTTTTGGTGCGCTCCAACTTCATTTCTGACTTATGAAAATCATTCAAAATTTCAGAGTTGATGCTTCAACTCTTCCTTCAGTGCCTAATCACTTTTAAAATTAAATATCTTAATTTGGGTAAATGTAATAAAATATTTAAGTTGACGATCTTAACAGATTTCTCCATACTTTTTTATGTCCATTTTCAGAACCAAAAATTAAATGGAAGGAATTTGAATATAGTTATAAAATTTGCGTCAAGCAATAGAGCAATTCTTTTACTTTTGCCTGAGATCAATTAGAATTATATAACTTAAATAGAAAATTTGCTGGAGCCCGCGAATCAAAATGATATTAAAAATTGCCTTTTGAGCCCATGCACTAGCTCCACCTAGGTGCTGCGGCTATTGGGGGCGACTCGGAAGGGATCGCACCGCAGCAAGGGGTCTTTTGTTAAGAATATGGAATTGGTCAGTCAATTGTGCGTTGGGTAAATAGCCGCAGGTAGCAGCAATTGTGCTTCAAATGAACAGGCAACACAAATTTTAAACTTGCAGCCAACAAGACTTGCAGCTGAAGAGACTTTTTCTCTCACTATCGCTGCCAGAGTTGGTTCATTTATTTCTTTATAAATGCGACATGCAATTATCAAATTTGGTTTTTATAATCAATATTTAAATTAAACGTATATTTAATATTCAGCATTCAGCTACTGAATTGAAGTAAATTATAGAACGAGCTACCAAAAATAAATAAGGCTTGCACGTAGCCGTGATTTTGTTGTTGTTAAGAGTATATATTAAAATATATTTAAAAATATTAACAGGTTGATATAAAATTAACACAATTAACATTTTTTCTCAAATACGACATTTAATTAATAAAATATGCCTGCCAACCCAGCTAGGAAGCGGAGACATAATGGTTCGCGACAAACAAAATTAAAAAAGATATTATTTTATTATATTTCAACCTACTATAATTTCACAATTATAAATTAAAAAAAAACTTTATGTAATTAAATAAAAATTTAATTATATTTATTAATTTAAATGTTTATTGCTGTAAATTTAAAAAAAAAATTAATAAAAATAATGCATAATTTTTTTTCAACTTTTTTTGTACTCTTTTTACGTATTTTACCATTTTAATAATCACAATAAAAGGAATTAAAGTATTTTAATATCTTTTTTTTCTAATAATGTTTTTTATTTAAATAATTTATATTTTTCATTTATTCTAACTGACTCTTAAAAATCCAATATAAATCATATAACGCTAAGAAAAAAATATCAAATGAATGCGCGCCGACAAAATATATTATGTCAACAAATATCTCGAACGACTTGTAGTTGGCCAAAAAATTTCATTCAAATGAGCTTCTTCATTAAATTTTACTGGCAAACGGCTAACGGCACGTGATATGTTGATTAAAAAAAAACTTAATTTTCAATAATTAAAAATCAAATCTTTAAATTGACAAAGGAGACCCTGCTGTGAGCGCCTAATTCATTCCCTCAGCGGGGAGCAATTTGCTCCAGTCCATTGGGCCTATTGTCCTGCTGCTGGACTTTGCTTGCCTGTGCGGCTGCACTCCCATTGAAAATTCCTATATGGCACTGCAGTCGTTCTATGTGTATTTTAAATGGGCATTTTGCAGCGGAAATTGGCTGAACTTTTTGGTGTTTTTGGAAAATATGGGGTATCTCTTAAACATTGTAAAATTGAAAGTTGTCAGAAGGGGGCTCTGACAGTCCTTTTTTGTCAAATTCTCACTACCTCCCAATAGTCTTAAAGGGGTGAGGAGAGGCCGTTTATTACAAATTCACACACACGCGCGCGTATGTGGTGGAAAAGTCGCGGTCGGTCGGGGTTGCGACGCTGCTCTAATATTCAACAGGTCTATGCTCACACAAAGAACTTTGTTCTTGGCGGAAAGGCGAATTATTCAGGTCAATAAGGAAAAAGGAAAGGGAGAATTGGGAGCATCAGGTGCTGAGAGGGAGAATCATAATTATATATTATGCGTTCTGAGTTCTGATTCTTGGAATGTTTGATCTATATAAAGAATATTCTGAGAAACCAAATCAAGTTTGCACATGTATGTGAAACGGCTTAATAAGACAAAGGAGGAAATTTTGAAATTAAATGTTCAAAATAAAAATATTATTTCTACAAAAACTGTGTATTTATAAATTGTTTTCATTGATAAACAAAAAAATTTCTTTATTATAAGTCGTTTTTGGGGGAAAACAGGAAATTCGAGGTTGCACAAAGCAAACATGTCAAGTTTGTGTTTTGCGTGGGTTGCATACCCCTGTATATTAAACGCTGAGGCGCTTTTGGCAAATTTTGCTGACACCCTTTGATGCAGAACCGAAAAATTAGGATTCCAAACTGTCTCTCTGCCAGACCCAAGCGTGCCACTTAATAATCCTAGAGTGCGGTTCAAAGATATTCACCAACATGAAGTAAAGAGAATTAAAGCATGAAGTACCTATTTAATATAATCACGTTAACGCAAATACACGTGCCCAAATAAAAAATATCAGTGCACGTCATTATTGGTTTAATCAACAAAAGAAAAACATCATGATCGATCATGATGAAAGAAAACATTTTTTGCTTGTTTTCCATTGTAATATATCAAAACACATAACCTGTCTTTTGCAATCCAATTGAATAAATTTTATATGAATATGTATGCAAAAACTCGCAATTAATGCAAATAATTATTTTACCTGTACATAAATCGAAATTAATTTAAATTAATCAGATAATTTAACAAATTAACATGTTAGAAATGTTCTAATTAATGTGAGTAAAAACTTAATATGCTTAATTCAAAAGGAATTTATATTCATACTTTTAATTTAAACTTCTTTGTGAATTTCTTTTTAGAAGAAATTTCAACTTAAATTGATTTTCTGATCAACTGAAGTCAAAATAATTATGCAATTCGTCAAAATAAGTTTTTCTCTTTTTTTTTTAAATCAACAGGAATTTACAAAATTATAAACATTGTTATTATTAAATTTAATCATTTAATCATAAAGAAAACTTGAAGCATAAAATGAAATAAAAATGTGAATTTGCAGGAAAAAACTCATGTTGCATTTGTGCTTGCCAAAAAAGCCAGCAGGTTTTGTTGCAAATAAAACATGCTCGCGTGCGTGTCAAGAAGCTTAATTAAAACAAATAATGCGAGGATGTCAAGCGACAGGGTTGAAAAATTAAAAAACGCGTGTCAACGTGCACGCGGATCTGCCATAGCACCGGCGGCCAAAATTCGGTAATGCGCGGCGCGGCGGTGGTGGGCGGCGGGGGACGCTTGCGCCTCCTGCACCCTCCGCCACCCTTATAAGGGACGACCCGCACGGCTTGGGGTGACTCTGGTCCTGCAGAATCATGGGGCACCACCAGCCAACCTCTTCCGCCAGCCTTCTCGTCTCCGTGGTCGCCATCGTCACCATCTCCTGCCTTCTCCCCAACACAGCCGCAGGTACCCCAAAACGAATTTCTCCAGGCCTAGCACCAAAATTTTTTAGGGGTAACAACTTTTGACTTTATATATTTCGCACGTTGTTCTCACTCTCAAAATCTTAACGTTAAAATTTGCATGGGAATGAAACATATTTGAGGCTAAATTTCTAACTTCTTTTCTATAATTGTTCCCTTTTTCTAAATTATTGTGCAAACTTCGGACTAACTAATAATTGGCATGTCTTTGAACGGCTCGGGGAAAATGTCTTTTCCGTGACAAATGTTTTAGAATTGCATTCAAGCAAAGCACGTTTTGCTTAAAGCTTAATGGAAAACTTCATATATACAAAGGAATTAACAGAATTGCTTATTTCACAATCAGCGGAGTAGTTGAGAAAAGTTAATGCTTGCGGGTTTTTAAGCATTAAAAATTAAGCAATAATCAGTATAGTTTTAGATTTCCTTTCCAACTATTCCCCTAAATTATTGATTCTCTTACATTTTAAGTTTCACAGAAGCTTTCAATTTCCATTTAATAAAGTAATCTGACATATAAATATTCCAAACTATTCTTCTTATTAGGAAATTACAACAAATTTTGTATTAGATGGAAAAGTTATAATGAAAATCACTGATAGTACTAAAATGTCCATAAATTTTAGATAAAAATAGAACAATTTCATTACATTCATTCTGAAATTAATTCCACGCAAAATCGAAGGAGCTAAGCATTAAAATGAAATCAATAAATTTTTTTTCACTTCTTATGTGTCTTATTTTTGGAAATTAATATTTTCTTAAATTGTGTGTCTGATTTACGATTACATAGATATATAATCAAGAAGTCTTTCTCATTTTCCTCAAATTTGCACAAAAGCATGACTCATTATGGGAATCGGGCTAATTTTCCTCTTATCTCGGATTGATGTTGAGAACAAGCATATTATTTTAAACACCAATTATTGTGCATAAATTGAGCCCTTAGAGGTAACAAAAGTATTGTCTTTCATATAACAAACGTATTTTCGCATTTTCTCTTAAAAAGGTCTACAGATTTTACATATTTTATATCAAGGAGATCGAATTTTTACCTCCGATCTGTGGGATTCACTTTGCATTTAGATAAAATATCTTCTTCAAAGAAAGACTAACCCTGTTTGATGTAGGCTCTGCGTTCACGTTGAGTAGAAAATATGACTGGTATGGGGATCTCTTTGTTTGTTTTGCAAGACCAAAATTGATAAAAAAAAAAGTAAAAAAATTCATTATTTTTCGTACTCTGTGGAATACGAAACAAAGCTTGTTAACAGTGTAAAAAAAAGATTGGTATGAATTTTATGAACGTATTGCCACTGGCGTGCGAAACTTTACACAAAATTAGTAAAATGTTGCATGAATAGGCAAACATGACATTTTTTTCCGATTTTGAACAATTGAAATTCGGCGAGGCTTTAACAATGGCGAAAAAGCCGTTTTGATTTGATCCAGAAAATGATGTTTTCATTTGCTGGTTAGATTTTTACACTCAAATGATAATCATTGCACAGCTTCTATTATAAAGCGCGACACGTATGTAGAGTAAAAAGGAAGTTTCTTTTTTTCAATTTTCGTTGGTCATTGCTGGAGGGTCAAGGTCAAAAAATTTAAAGTTTATTTGACAAATCGACACCACCACTAGCCAGAATTTTGGTAAAGCTTCTATGAAAATGACCCCATCCTTCACAATGAAAACAGTTAATTTGTTCTAATTTTTTACTCCTAATTTGACCCCTCAATGAATTAATTGAAGTTCAATAGTGAATTAAAATGCAGACTAAATGAAAGGGAAATAATTTATTTTTGGCAACAGAAGGTGCATTTTTGCGATGTACTTTGATTGCTTCCTCTTCATCGCAGTGGAGGAAACTCGGGGGGCGGATCTGTCGCATCCGCACACCTTTCTCGCGGGGTGTTTGCAAATTTCCTCGTGCGCGGCTCGATCAGCCACAAAAGGGCTGAAAGTGCCACCCTATATCTGACGGAGGGCTCGTGTGTCTCGCACGTTTAGTCGGCCAGAATGAATTGTTTAAAGGTCCTGTGTGCCCCTCGCGCGCTTTGTTTCAACTCTTTTTTGTTTGCCACGCGCTCTTTGTTTCAACAATACAAACTAATACGCTTTGCTTCCAGGGGCAAATAAACTGAAAAAAAGGACGATAGAAGACTGTTTTGCATTACAAACGAATCGGAATCGCTATTGCAAAACCAGATCTAGTGCATCCAACTGAAGCTAAACTTTAGGATCAGTGCAGAGAAAAAAGGAGATGAAAAACAGCTTTTAATAATTTTAATCAATTTAAACTCCATAAAATTTAAAATTCATTTTATTAATGGAGAAATATATTCAAAATGGAAACAATCATTAACTTGCTTTTAAGTTTGGAAAAGCTTTTGAACAGTACAGTTTTTTTCTTCAAATAATCCTTTTTTTAAGAATACTAATTTGTGACGTCAATAACATGCTTCGTTGATAAATAAATGAAATATAAATTATAGATTCTATAAATTTAATTTTATCTTGTATATTTTTTTCTTAGTAATTACGGCCTCAACATGCTTTTTGTATTTTCGTGGTTATGTTTTATTTTTTAACTTACCTCCAAGCATTTTGAATTATGTTTCTCTAAGAACAGTTTTTATTTTTGTAAAACGTCCTGAAAACTTTTTACAACCAAACAAGTTCCAAAAGTGACCTTTTGTATGGGCAAAATGCTACTACCCACGCCAGTATTCCAGTGCCCGCGAGTGCGTACCTTTTCTTTCGCGAGAAGTTCTTGACAGAAATTTCCCTAGAGGCTTCCAGATGTCTTTTCCGTTAATTACAAAGTCGTTAATTATATGCTTACTTAAGAAACGAGCATTGCTTTACATAACACATTGTAAGCTAAAATATTGTGGTCTCACCGGACCGGAGAATGAAAAAAAATTTATGCATTTGAGTTCATTAAATTTGCGTAAAAATGCGAGCAAAAGCAGTGCGTCACCTCGTTATAGGGTTTGAACTCACTCATTAATTTGAACCACTTGCAATTTCACACTGAATTAATTCTGAAGACGAGGCTGCGGAGCCAAAAAAATAAAGTAGCATATTACTAGGTATAATCCCTGAGCGCAATTCCTGATGATATATGTACGCATTTCTCTGCATGAGCAAAGCATTTTGACGAATCTCTGTGACGTCCTAACCTTGTAAAAGGGGTTTTGGGTCCTCTCGAGCGTGCATAATAAGTATCATCAGAAAAGCGAAGTGGTTTGATATATATATATAAATTTAATTATAAGAAATTTGCCTTGTAATTTAGTAGCAAATTGTTTTATCACTCAAATTATATTTAAGTCAAAATTTTATTTATGCGTTGTTATAAATCAATATTTGTTTTTCTATTGTTGATAAAAATTAAAAAATTTTCCAATGCGCAAGGCCATGAAAAATGTATTTATGAATCTTTAATTTCCTAAACTTGGATATGAAAGTGAAATCTGACATTTGCCAGCATATCTGAAAATTTTCTAAATATTGCATGGAAGGGGAAATAAAAAAGAATATCTTAAATTGATACATGAAAAATATATTTGATGCAATTTGAAGATATCAACATGCCACGTTTTTGTTGACAGGATCCTGCTTGCAGTACGGCCACTCATGCTGGGGAGGTGAGAGTAAAGATTCTTTTTCCCACTTTCCCTTGATTCTTTTTCTTTAATTTTTTGACGCAGCTCACGGCAAAAGAAGCAATTTCCCGCCGATGGCGCCGCCCTCGGCAGACTTTGCGCAGCCCGAGATGTCTTTGGCGGCGCCAGCAGACGAGCCCCCTGCGAGTTGGGAGCCGCCAGAAGAGTCCTCGGCGCAGGACGATTTGGCGCTAAAAGAACCGTGGCAACGACTTCGAAGTCCTTCTCACCTTCGATTGGGACCGCGGGGGGTGCGCCGAGCCGACGATGATGTGGACTACGAAGTGCCACCCCCTCGCTGGATTTATAAAATAATGGTATAATTTAAACTTAGCAATTTAGTATTATAATTTATTCAAATTAATATTCTATCTAAAGGATATTATTATGTTATTAATAATTTAAAAATTAATTAACTTTTCTGGTTTTGGATAATTTCAGTCTATATTTTCATGCTCTTTTATGTGTCTGATATAATTTTAATTAATTTCTCAGAGGCAGTCTGCAAGCAAATCGGACTAGATGATGCGTCTTTGCTGAAGTTATGAAACTCTTCCAATATGTAATATAATAAACACACAGAAAAAAAACTTATTTACTTTTGCTCTCCTGAACACCACCTCTTCACAGGCTGGCATAGATAGGGTGAAAAGGCGCTGTGCAGGAGAGCAGCCGCAGTAAATATTTTAACTAAAATATATAAATAAATTTTGTTTTTCTAAAGACCCATGATTTTTAAACCCACCTCAAGTCAGCAGCGGCTGGGCTGCTGATTACTTTATTAGCTTCTTGTTCTGCAACCAAAACTCTTGCAGTGTGACCCAATTGTCACCATGCTATTCATGATTTAAATGTGTTACTTTAATAACAATAAATAATGATGTAGTGCTTGGAATAAATTGATTTGTTGACAGTTTGTCTCTGTGTTTAGCTAATAAAGCATTCAAATAGACTGGGAGTTATTTTGTAATAATTTAAGTAATAAAACCTCAGATGTTCGTTTTACTTGTGATTCTGTATTTTGAAGCTCAAATTACAAAACAAGCTGACAGAATTTAATCGAAATCACTGAAACAGTGCACCAACCAAATTTGAATGCCCTCAAATATACCACAAAAGTTCATCTGCGCACTCGCACAAAGTTACTCATTAAATCACAATTCCTTAGTTGCTAGTATTAGTTGTAACAGGATTTCTCCCATCTCATTAAATTAATTAAATACATCAGGGTTAACACAAGAATGGCGAAATGTCTGATTGAGAACTTTCTTGAATGCCAACAATCCTCGCAATATTAGGCAGCGCACTTAGATTTATTAACATTGCAATACTTCGGTAGAATATTTTTAGGATTATGTAAAATTTAATCGACCAAAGAAAAAAACCGTGAAACATTACGAATACTTTGAGCATCTGTGAAAGATGTAAAAGCAGCAACCAGCGTGAAAAGGACCAAAGGTTTCCAGTGTGGTAAAACCAACTTCGAAGGGTGAGTTATGAACAAACGAGAAATCATTGAGAAATAAATGTATCACGTAGATTTCCATAGGAGTCTTCAAGCAGGCGTTTTTTCATATTCTTTTTTTTTTGTATTCAGTAAAATTAAAAAGCGAAAATACACGTTTCTCCCCTGCAGAGTTCAGAAACCATCGGCAGTCGCTTCTCAGTGCATGGCGACGAAGGACTCGAGGCGGACAGGGATGTGGCCCTTGTAGGGGACCATGTGCCTGTTGATGGTGCGGGCGGCAAGACACATGAGGCTGGTGTGCCGCACCGGGTTGACCAGGTCCAGCACTTTCTGGTCTTGCAACAGCTGCGCGAACGTTTTGCCGTTTTTGTTGACTAGATCGAGGTGGACGTCGCCTTCGACGAGCGCCTTGGCCAGCGCTGGGGTGCACGGCTTGGCCAGGGCGGCCACGTGGAGGGCGGTGTTGCCATCCACGTCTCGAGCGTTGGGTGCGTGGCCTGCCTTGAGCAGAAGGGTCACCAGCTCTGGCGCAGGGAACTGACATACCGAGTATCTCTTGGCCACGGAAGAGTCACGGGAACAGGCAATGTGCAGCAAGGTGAACCCCTGCAAAGAATTAAAAGTAAATTTATCATAAATTAATGAAGTTGGAAATAGAATTATAACTAACAATGATAATCATTTTATTTGCTAATATAGTTCAAATTAGTTATTTTTAGATTTCAATACATAGTTTTAAACTGATTTAAATTAAATGAATGTTCCGCAATGGAACACAGAAATAATTTGTAAATAACTGATTTTATAGTAATATATTGAAAATTATCAATCACGCCATTTAAAAACAATGAAAAATATGGTAATTAGATTTATATTCATAAAAATAAAGAAAAAATTAACAAATATAAATCATTGAAGCCATCGAAACAATTCTTAAATGTTCTCAAAGAAGACTTTTTAAACAGTTAAAATAATTTAATTTTCATTACAAAAGCCTTACTTTATTTCCAATTGGCCACATCTTGACAAGTTCTTTCGTGAGTTGGAAGAGCCGTTCAGACTGCGCTGTCTTGAGGAAATTCATGTGCCTGGCGAGGAGGCAGCAGATGTTCATAGTGAGCACCATGGTGCGGTGCAAATGACCGACCGCGGCATTCTCGCTGCTCGGATTGGCCATTCCAAGCTCGAGCTCCTGCAAGGCTTTCTTGAAGACGTTGAGGATGTCGTCGTAGGCGACCGGAGGGATTTGTCTTCCACCTCGGCCACCCGAGTTGCTGTTGCGGAACCGAGATCGCTCACTGATCATGAACGAAAATAGTTCGGTGAAGGAGAAAAGGCTGCTCTGGGTCATCGGGTTCATCGGCTCGAGAATCTTTTGCTGCATGTCCAGGGCGTAGTTCCACAAGGCGATGCATCGGTCGAACTGCCCCGCGTCGGCGTACACGGCCCCTCTGTACCGGACGTAGTAACTTGTGTCAGGGTGGACGGGGCCCAGGATACGCTCCCGGATCAACAGGGCCTGCATTCGGATCTCGTCAGGGTCGGAAACCAGTTCTTCCAGTTCGTCGAGGTTCAGCACCTCCTTGGCGTTGTTGTAGGCGTCCACAGTTTTGGCAGATTCAGGTTTTAAAATAGGTTCTTTGCCGTCGGCAAATCTGGAAATATCAATAAGCCAAGTTTTAAGAATGAATTACAAAAATGATTTAAGATTTTTAAGTTTTTCTGATTGCTTTTCAATATTTGAATTGGATAACACGGGAAATTTTTATGAAAGAAAGTAATAAAATGAAGCTTTAATACTTTTTAATTGTTGTTAAGTTGATAAAAATTAATTGATTTAAAATAAAAAGCCTTTGGTGAACTTAAAAAAATTATAAAATCATTACCTAGAACTTAACTTCAATTAAAATATAATTATTGTTTACCATTGGATCCCAATTTTTCTAATGGATTTATTTATAAATTATCATTGAACCTTCATTAATAAATGTCAATGTATTTAATGTTTTTCAAATTTTATTAGTGCTTAATTTGCTTAATTTTCTATTTAATTTCATTTTGATTTTAAAGTGCATAGAAACATTAAAAAAGTCATTAAATTAAGATTCAAGTTTAATTTTTGCGAAATTAAATTACGTACCTATCCTCCATGGCTTGTCTCCAAAGGGAAAGCGCACCCATCATGTCTCTCTTTTTGTCCACATAAGTTGCCCCTAAAAGCTCCATAGCATTGACCATGTCCCTCCTGGACACCAGGCCTGGATGCTGCTTGAAATACTCAACAATATGGGAATGGCCGGTCACACTTGCTGCCAACAGAGGCGTCATTCCTGAAAAGGAAAATACATTTCTCAATATTCTAATATTATCTGTCTATATTCAAGACTTCAAGACAAGCTAATAGCTTCATTATCTATGAATACACACATGTTGACATTTCTGAAGGTAGAGGTCATTTCTTTAATCTAGCATTTAAATGTGAGACCGGCTCAAGAGTAAACAAAAAAAGTATATATTTAAAAAAGAGTTGATGACCTCTAAACTAAATTATCGCACAAGCTGAGGTTAAAAATACAATCTGGAAATTTTATTGTTACCGTAGGAGTCGACTTCAATAACAGCGCCGTGGTGAAGAAGGAGTTTCATGATTTCCAAACTTCCACTCTCGGCACAGTCGTGGAGGGCCGTGTTTCCTTTGACGCTCTTCCTATTGACGTCTGCTTTGAGTCCGATCAGGAATTTGGCAATCTTGATGTGGCCCTTGTAGCAGACGATCATCAGACACGTGTGACCATGCCGGTTTGCAATTTCAATGTCTGCGGAAAATACGTTTAATTTAAAAATTAAACATTAAATACAAATATCCAAATAAGAATAATTTAATGTGTCATTTTTCTTCCTTTTTAAATTTGATTTAAATGAATATGATTTAAAATTGTTTTTTTTTTTTAATTTAATAAGTGGATCTGACAGGCATACCTGCGTTGTGCTCAATGAGAAATTTGACAATGTCAAAGTGGCCGTCAAAACAGGCCGCCCGCAGCGGCGTCGAGTTGGTCTTGGTGATGCTGTTGACGTTGGCGCCATGCCGCACCAGCAGCTTGACCACGGCAAGGTGTCCGGCGGCCGCCGCGCACCACAGCGGAGGTGCGCCCTCGATGGTTTCCCCGTCGAACACGACTGAACAATAAAATGCGGTTAACAAAGTGCAACACATCCGTAAACCACAATAAAATTACGAAAGAGATTTCTCAGATGATCTAACGTTAAAATCGGAGGGGCCAAATTAATTTTTATTGAAGGTCGCTTGAACTTTCTAATAAACAATAACACCGGCGTGTGGCAGACGCCGATTTTAAAAAGAGGTGCCGCAAATAAAGGACCTTGACCGCCGGCCTGTTGAAAATCTAGGCCGAGGGATATACATTTGAACCTAATGAAATCATCTAAGGCTGCTCATCGCGTTTGTTGACATCCTTAATTGGCTGCAGCGTTTGTTTTCTGTCTTCTTAAGGCGTGCTGCACTCTCTCGATGTGGTGCAATTAGATTTATTAAAAGGAAGTCTTTACGCGCGCGCACACGTCACGGAGCAACGAGACAGAAAACCACCGCGTGAATAATTAACTTTAGCACGCAACACTGGCCACCAACAACGAGATAAATATATTTTTACTGATAGATTTCCTGTTAAATGCAAAAACCGGGCAAGTCTCAATCTTGAATTATTCTCTTTTTGTCAAAATAATTAAATGCAACAAAAACGAGTTCTACGGTACTTCCTGGATTCTTTTGAAGTGTAATTTTAATTGCAAATGTCACGTGAGAATGCTATTTTGGGAAGAAGACATTCCCACCCAGTGTCCTTGGTTGACAAGGGTCTTTATCATTTCACGTGTTCCGCGTTTTGGAAAAAAAAAACAGGAAATTTTCAAATGAGACAATAAAAAAATGCGTTACATTTGATACTATTTAAATATAAAAACGCATAATTTATCAATGTAAATTGTCTTCATATTATTTTTAATTTTTTTTTCGTTTCTTGTATTTAATTATCATCAGTTCACTATGCGGCAAAGTTTCCCTTGTTCATGAATCCGATAAAATTCCCTAGCAACTAATTTAAAAAGATTGAATTTTGAAAATATTTATAAATTTGTAAAATAAATTTGTTCAAAATTTGCAATAAATTATTCCTTTTATTGTAGTATTTATTAATAAAAAAGTAATTATAGATCAATCTGCCGACATCAGCAAAGTCTATTAAATTATATTTTTAAATTAACAAAACTCTATTCCAGAAATTTTAATGATGAGAAACATATTCAGATTCAATAAATTCATCAAGGTGTTTTATAGTCTTTGAAGTTTTGCAATCACGGAAGTCTTGTAAAAAAGCTATTGGCTATTTCTAGTATTTTTCTGTTACCTGCTCCGGGCTGCTCGATGTCGGCGTTGCACTTTTCGATGAGGTACTCAGCGACGTCGAAATGTCCATACCTGCAGGCCATCACCAGCGGCGTCGCGTTGTTCGTCTTTGACGAGACCAGCATCAGAACCTCAGAGCGCGCTCTGTGCTCCAGGAACACCTGCAATAATTTTTGTAAATCTAAATTTAGAATTAAGGAAGAACAAAAAAAAAAGGTGAACTAGTTTTGGTGCAAATTGAGCCCGTGACGGGCGATCGCTTTTTTCAGGTAATTCACTCAAAGCGGCGCCGGCCGCCGAGAGCAATTAGAAGGAAAGGTCCCTTGACGAGACCTTGGCAGGTGAAACGCAACCGAGATATATGTATTTATTTTCATTCGTTTCCAACAATCTGACTCATGTTTCTTTTTATTTGCAAAGTGTAGAAATAAATAAATACAAACTTGACGCGCCAAATGCACAGAATAGATGTTATATAACTTAAGTTGCCAACAAAAGATTACCTTTTCCTCAAATAAAAGCAAAGTAAACATATGCAAGCGTTTTGCAATTGTCTGAAGAAACAATTGAAACCATAGATAAATTCATAATATTCATCAATATGCAAAAATTAATAATTACTTTAAAATAAATTCGATACTTGATATTGAAGCCATTTAAGTTTCATTAAGATTAAAACTATCAAATAATTAGCCAGACTAGGTATTAAAATTTGTGATAATTATTAGAAAAAATGTTTTTTCCAAATGTAAAAAACCCAAAGAGCATTTAACTATTTAAATTTTTGTGTCAATAAAAACTGAATGAACTGTAAATTCAAGTTAAATGAATGGCGAAGCATAAGATTTAAAATTAGCAAAATGTGAAAGGCTTTTCTGAGCTTTTCCTCTGCAGCAAGAAGGCTTTGGTGACGCCACACGGGAATTAAAAATTATTAAAAAGGCTAAGACAGAACCGGTTCCTTCCTTTTTAGTAACAAGCTGGTAAATTTAGCAACAGATATACAAGTATAAAACGTGCAATTGAACTCGACTTTTACTGATTGAGCTAAACGAAACAGGATGTTAACTAGGTTGTTTGCCTCCTAAAAAATGAGATACCTATTAACCCGTTATTATCTAATTTGGGTTTTTTCAATATTTTAATGTTCTCAGCCATTGGGAATCCCGGGGAATCCCAAATGAAGATTTGGAATTTTCTCATGCAGATCACGGACGTTGGAATGGATTCACGTGATCACAACTGGTAAAAACCTGCCAAATAATTTTTTCAGGCAAGACAGCGAATAAACATGATAGAGTTTAGAAAAAATTGTATGAAAAGTGCAACAAAATTGGTTTTTTCGGTTGAAAAAATATCTTCCCTAAAGTTGAAATGAGATCACTTCATAATGAACCCAATTAAAGAGTCATTAAACTTTCTAGAGAGACATTATTTGTGTTATTATGGCATGGGACACCATACGTGATTATTTCTGAGAAGAAACACTGATTTGGGCGAAAGTGGTTTGCAAGGCCCACAGCCGGCAATGACATAACCGCACTAACTTCTGTAAGAGGGAAAAATTAAGATAGAAAAAAATCGTGACTTTTTCCGTTTTGCTGCAGCGAATGTATTAAATATAGAAGGAAGATTTTTAGAATGGTGGAGGCATTCAAGAGGTCACTCAGCGAGCGCTCGCATTCAAGGCGAGAACAAGACCTATTTTATTCAGCACCATCCTTGACTGCCGCTGCGACGACGACAAGGCGACCTTGACAGAAAGGCCCGCTCCATCAGACGAAAGCGATTCCCGAAAATTAATTTTTAGTGTGTCACCGACTGGCACAACTCGCGGGATGCGTGATCAAAATATTATATGATAAGACAAAATGATCAACCGAATTTTAAATGATTTATTTCTACAAGAGAGTGAATTTGGAAAAGGAGAAAGTATTAATTGTTATTTTAATTAAATGTCTTCCGAGTTCGGAAATGTTCACATTGAAAAGTGATGGCGATTGTTTCTTTGCAAACCGCTCTCATCATAGTTAACTGGCTAATTAAATTAACACTGAAATACTAATAGAGGCGCCACCGCTGTGACGTTTTATTAGCCTTAGGTAATGCATTGTGCTGGCAACACAGGTAAAAGGCGCAAATCGCGCAACGCCCGTCTTGAAGATGAAATTGATCGAGATAAACGGAACGGACGAGGATAAAAGTTGAATAACTGCGATAATTTTTTGCACGTTGCATAACTGCGCAGTATTTCGTAACCGCAGCCAGTTTTCCTCCTCAGGATAAAGATCTTAATCATCCACACTTCTTCTCCTTGCGATTAATTTTCTTGTTCCTTTCTTCTTACAATTTTCGGTCTAGAAATTAATAACTTGTTGCAAATTAATAAGGATAAAATCTTTTTGGATTTTTTATCCGGAATATGGGCGCCTAGTTTGCTCATAAAAATGACATATTTTTCCCAACAATTGAAAAATTCTTCAAACATTCGAAGGGTTGAAATATTATTTCCCCAATTTCTCATCAAAACAATTTATTTTTAACCTGGATAACTCGGGATAACTATTTTGACTGAAAATTTTATTAATTTTGTTCAAAAATTACAGTTTTCCTGCTTAAGGATACTTTTACAGGATACTTTTATTGTTATGGTAGAAATAAATTGGTTAATTTCACCATGGAATTTATATTTTAAATTCATATTTGCCACTTCATTGTCAAATCAAGATGGAACTATTCCCTAGAAACTATCAAAGCTAAATTTTTAAATTTTTCTCCATTAAAAAAGTAAATCCAGGAAATTTATTTAGTCAGACTTGCTTGAGCGTGAAGATAAATTTGGCCATTTTTAAAGCCATAGATTTCTATTTTGGCAAATACAACATTTGATAAGAATTTAATCTATAATCATGTTCTATGTTGGCGGAAAGTAAATATTATTCTCCATAAAAAGATACGCAGTTCAATGGACCCACTGTGTCGGCAGATTTGAGAGACTTGATATTAATTTTCTAACATACCCCGATTTTTTTTTCTCACGCCTCATGTCCAATCAATTAGGCACAGTCGGAAGTGGACAAAGTGGGAAGAGAGCGTGAGAAAAGCAATCGAATCAATTAATGCTTAAGTAATGTTTGCGTGTCCGAGGTCGTAATATTTGTACCAATGCCATTGTCTTCACAGCCAATTTAAATATATTTAAATGAATGCCTTTTTCTCAAACATTTGTCCAACAGACCGATTTGTAACTGACCTTTGAATAATAATCGATTGGATCTTTTCACAATTAAATTTAATCGCGAAATTTTTCTTCCATGATTAAACCGGCCTTTTGCATAAATGTTGATTTCACTTACAGTTACGTCGGAAATGTCAGAAGACCGTTGAACCGCCATATTTTCCATTTTATATTCGAAAAGGGCATGCAATTAGCGGGCGCCGCCAAGGTCTGGGATTATCATGATCGGCGTTTACTTATTTCGACTTGAAGAAAAAGACCTTTTTCAATGTCAAGCCGACTTTGTGTCTAGATTGGAGGCGAATGTTTTTGAAACGAGATCTTGTCGAGGAAATTGGAGAAAATGGAGCCTTGTTTGCTGACGCGAATTGCGATCGATATGCAAAATATTCCGCCAGCTTACAATGTTATCCAAGAAAACAGATGGAATTTCAGGCAGTACAGGAAGTAGTTTTGATTAATGAAGTGAGCTTTGAATGAATGAAAAGAAAAAAAAGACTAAATTTAAGAGCAAGACAGAAAACAATTTATTTCCTTGTAGAAACAATCATTTTGTATAAGATTAATGAAGGTATCAAATTCAGATTTTAGAAACAAAATAAAAGGTGAAAAACTTAAATGACACGGAAATCTTGAAATAAAATTCAAAATTCCAAAGATTTGATTTAATTTATTCACAAATTTTATTCAACTTTCTTCTGTTATATGTTTAGAGGAATTTTTTTCTGGAATCATTTCTATTTTAAACTCGTTTAAGCATAAAATTTCAAATAGCTTTGAAAATATCATAATGGATTTCATAAGAAGTGCAAAATCTTTTTTTTAACAAAATAAATATAAAAATAATTGACGAAATTAAACTGATTTGATCCAAAAGATTGAACAACATCAAAGATATCCTTAAGCATTCAAGAAAAAGAATGAAATACAGTTAATTAGAAAAAAACCATTTGTTTTACTTTTCAATTATTTACAGGGAAATTTTAAATCACCAAAAAATAGAAATAAAAATTGTAGCAAACCTTTCTTTTACAAAAAACGCGGAATTCATGATAGAAAAATTATTTTTCAATTAAGTTTAGATTGAAGTAAAAAAAATCTTTTGTTCTCTGCGCTAAAACGAGCCGCCGGATTAGGAAGAGGAAGCAAAGTGTTGCCGTAGGAAACAATTATTACATAATTAGTAGCAGCAGCTACGAAGAGGAACCACCTTGATGGAAAGGCTGATATAAAAGTTTCCGCAAAAAAATGTACAATCTTTCTAATTTAAAATTCAACTCTGATTAAAATCATTGTGAAAATAGGATAAATTTAAGGCCAATTTCCATAAATGATAATTACTTTTTTAATTCAGCTGAATTTAATCACAATTATTCTGCAGCGCAAAACCTTCTTTTCACAATAGGTATTCTTTTCTTTTTTTTTTTGTTGTGCACCGACGCTTTAATTGAGCGCGCCGTCAGCTGATAAACAAAATTCTGCGTCACACTCTGATTCATTTTAGGAAAGACTTTTTAAGAGTCAAGCTGTTGTGGTTTTGTTACGCAGATCAAGCGTAATAAACTCGATTCTTAAAATATAACCATAAATATGTCGAGGTGAAGAAGATGATTCATTTGCAAACGTGAACCAGTTTTTTTATTTTATTTTGCAAAACCAACCACAAAGATGACTCCACGCGACACCTTTTAAGAAAGATAATCTCGAACACGATTCTTATCACAGCATAGAACTATATTGTTGGTTTTAATTAAATTTCCCCTAGAATTAAGACGGAAAAATAAAAACATTCCAAACAAATTTTATATTTAATAAATTATGCGTAAAAAAATTACAAAATCAGCTTTTTGTTGTAAAATGTTTCCAATTAAATGCTCTCTTATTTATTGATTTTAAAATTTAAAATTAATTTCATTTCAAAGGATCAATATTATTGTGAAAATTTTCAAATAAGAAACAATGAGTAAGAAATTTAACAAAGTCTCGTGTAAAAAATTGACTTTTCAGCCAACGTTTTGTGTGATCCGAGACCAAAAGCCAAGGTGTTTTTCGTACCTTCAGGCGACGGAGTTTTCCATCCCTGGCTGCTGTGTAGACGACACTTTTGAAATCCATGTCCACGTTAATCGGCTGTTGGTCCGAGAGGAAGATTCCGTTCGTCGTGCTCTCGGTCAGAAAAATCAGTGGTGCGACGTATCCATAGCTGGGACGATTTTATCACGGCACAGAGCGACGCTCAGTTCATCACTAATTTCAGCGCGAGTTGACCTCTTATCGTAGTGGGTGGACGACACACGAACGACCTGATATTATGCAAGCCGACCGCGTAATTTACTAAACACTTTCACTGTTCTGGTCTTTTGCACGAATGCGAAAATTTGCTGGCTGCTCTGAATTTGCTTTGCTCGCTTCTCAGCACTTCCACTTGGAGAGCTGCCCCCCTCTAGCTGACTCGGCGGTGTCCGATTGTTTCGACATTTAAAACCGGTTTAAATCAATTTTTTTATTCTTTTTCCTGCAAATTATGAATTTTGACTTATTTTTAAATTAAATAATGCAAGAATAACGGTTTTATATCTGTTTCTGCTTAAATTTATGCATTAATCAACAATTTTAAGCTTTTTATTGAAATTAAACAAACCGGTTTTTATACATGGATGACGTAAAACCTCCAGTGCTGCTTCTTGATTGGCTTATAAAATTAAAACCTCCGTGAATTTTGTAAATCGACTCACGATTGGTCTGTTTTCTCTGTTGGCGCCGAGGAGGCCTGAATGAAGCTCTCTCCTGATTGGTCCGTTTCTGTGTTTTCATCACGATCAATTCACGAGAATTCAATCAGGGGGTAAGAAAGTTGTGTATAAATTTACGCACTATAAAATAATTAGAGTCGATTAGCAGGAAGATGATTCACTGCCACCAGCATAGTTGACGCACTCGAAGCACTCGAGGAAGGCTCCAGTAAAGGGGAGAACCGCAGCTGAACGACGCGTTTCCGTGACCAAATCTACGAAAATTCAAAAGCAGCTTGACAAAGTATGACGTCCTACTTGTTGCTCGTCCTGCTGGCCGTCTGTTCGGTCTCCGTCCAGGCGCAGCGACCAGCTTTCGGACGGTGCCCTTCCATGAATAATCTGGCATCACTCGATCTTCACAAGGTGATTGAACTTTTATCCCTTTTATCATTTGAATTTTGTATATTATGCTCTAATGTAGATAGCAAAAAATATTGTATGTCTCAATTTGTTTATGTACAATTATGCGAATAATCAACAAATATTTGATCAAAACGTAGACAGTTTTTGGTTCAGTACCAAAATTTAAATGATTTTTTTTTTGGATTACAATCGTTTCTAACTGTATTAAAGTTGTATACAGTGCATTCATAAATTCATAGAAAGTTAACTTTTAATAGCATAAGCTCGGTCTATTATGCTAAACTCTCTAGTTCCCAAAATAGCCAATTATTTCAACTGAACCGTTATATTATGTATTTTTCCTTGTAATGAATTAATTTTGGTGCCTCTTCAAAATGCAAATAATTAACCTCCGAGCTATTCTTCAAAGATCAAATTTAATTTTTATCACCATATATATTCCATTTCCTGCCAGCCCAGCATCCACTGCTACTAATAAAATACATAATGTTATCTTTATTCAATACGCAGCACAGTTTCCTCTGTCGTTTTCACAAATTGATAACCTTGTATTTGCAGCTCAAAGGTCACTGGTACGAAGTGGAACGCAGCTTCTACGTCTTCGAGCTGCACCGCAAGTGCATTGCCATCGACTTCCAACCTCAAGGGAACAGTATTAAACTCTCAACGTCCTTTTTGAACCGAATGTGAGATTTAATTCATTTTTTTCCCACTTCAATAAAATTATATATTTTTTAGCACAAACAACAAGGGTGCAGATGTTGCCATTGCCACTCCTTACGGAAAGAACTCCGCAAAACTGAGACTCATAGTGGACGGCTCAATTTCCCGGCAGACTCCGGACGCAGTCAAGAGGGCCCTCCCAGGGTCTGGCGACTACTATGTCTTGGACACCGACTATGACAACTATGCTGTCATTTATAGCTGCTCTAATATGGCTGGACTCTTACATGCTGGTACGTAAATTAATAAATAATAACATAGAGGCAAAATACTATTTTCATTTCAAATTTAGATCTGATTTGGGTGCTCTCAAGGCAGCGTGACCTTCCTCCGAATGTGAGGGTTGACATCTATGATGCTCTCATCAAAAAGGGACTCAACAGCGACGTTCTCACCCTCACCCAACAGAAAGGATGCACCAATTGAACAAAAATCTCGCAGCATTTATTATAAGTGGCATTTCATCGATCTGATTTTGTGTGCTCATTATAATTATACCATTTCTATGTACTCGGTAATAATTACCAATGTAAGCTATATTTTGTATAAATTGGAATAGAACTAACCAAATTTGTCATGACATCAAAAATATGGCAGTAATTTTTATTTCTTATGTAAACTCTGTTCAAATTTAAAACTTAGACATTAGGCATACAAATTGTGACTCAGCGGTGAATATCTGAAGTTGTTGTTCCTATTACGTTGCTGCAAGAAAGCAATGGCCAGCACAAGCAAACTTATGAGCAGTAAAACGACAATGCCAGAACCAATCACAACTGGAAAAAAATTAATTATTTAAGTAAATTCCTTAAAAATATGTAAATAGAAACTAACCCGTAATTGAGAGATTGCGCAGTAACTTTGCCTCGTCCGAAGCTAGGAATGTTTGTTCAGTCCCCAACTGACACTCGGCCATCCAGTCTTCTGGAATCATTGACGCCGTCAGTTTAACAAAATCATCAAGGGGGCAGCGGAAGGAACAGCCAGGCAGAGTCAGTTTGTACGGTTCACGTTTTGTTTCATTTTTGAATAAAATCTGGAGAAACGAGTAATTTAATTTTGAATGCGCAAGGGAAGTAACAATTATTTACAGAAACTGCGTATTTCTCAGCAGGTAATTTGTGTAGTTCAAGAATAATGGATGAAGTGTAGGCTGGGATTTGCGTGTCAAAAATTCCCAAAGTCATAAGAATGTTCGCCACCGTAGTGTCATGTGCCGAGTAGAGAAAAAGCTTTCTGTTTGGGGTCAAAGTTTTTTCCTTCTTTTGCTTCATGTGCTGAACAATTTCACCCACAAGTGGTCCTAAAAAATTATATAATTTACCGACTTTCACTATGTTCTTGGTTATAATTGAAAATATTTTACCTCCTTTTAGACGTTTCATTTCCTCAGTGTAAGCGTTTAGAGAGAAGCTGATGGCAGCCAAATCTTTCATCCTGTCTGGAAACACCTTTTTGGTCCAATTAGGTAGCTCCATGTTCTTGAGATTCTAAGGAAAATTTAAAATTGCAAACGTTTATTCATTTTTGATAATTGAAAATAAATTACCTCAATCCACATAGTATTAAAAATATACTGCAGAGTTGTCGGATCTTGGATTTTTCTGCCAGAGTGTTCGGTTAAATAGTCGTAGACATCCTGATATTGAGCATTGAGCTTTTTTACATAATCTGATTCCATCAGCTTCTTCAACTCTGATTCGTACCGTGGACAAGGGTATTTCATAGAAACCAACTAAACAAAAGATAAAAATATTTATTTTTTACAAAACTCGGAAAAATTCAATACCTTGTCAAGAGTTTCAGGAACTGTGTGAACAGGGATCGGAGACCACTTTAAATCTGCGTCCCACTGGTTGACTGGAGGGAAGAATCCTGCCAAATTGCTCTCCGCACTCATCAGAGTCCTGTCCACATCAGTGCTCCGCACAAGGACATCGTTCAGGTTGTACTTCTTTGGTAAAAGGGTGCTGTATCTCTTGCGAAAGTATTGGCCTAGACGGTAGTGCTGTTCTTTTCCAACCTTGGATAATAAAAAGTAATTTTAAGTCCATCGCTGAGAAAAAACGCAAAATTTATTACGTCTGTCAATTGGCCTAAACCCTCTGGCCAGTAAACACTGACGTTTCGGTAGGGGTCCGTGGGGTAAGGGTCAACAGGTGTCCTGTCTCCGTGGCGAAAAATCTATTGTACTTGAAATAAGCACCAAGTCGTGAAAATTATTGCCGAAGACTTACAATGTTGGTGAGAATGACGGTGGAAGGGTCGTCGACATCATAATTATTTTGGTCCTGCGCCAACGAAGCCGCACAAGTTATGGCCAAAATTATCAACAACGGTGGCATTGTGCCTGAAACAAACTTTGTGGTAAATGCCTTTGACTTTTGGAAAAGTCTTAGAGGTGAAAAAAAAAATGTATGCGAGGTAGAAAAATATAAACTTTAAAAAAACGAGGAAAATACATAAATAAATATTAAACTTAAAGGAAAGAAATAATTTAATAGTTCAGTATTTTATGGTGTAAATCAGAGTAAATTAACTGAAACTGATTATTTGAAATATGGATTATCTTTAGTGATATGATAAGAAAAATAATAGCAATCGCCAATCTGACTACTCTTAAAAGATTGCATGCATATAAGGTCTAACTTTTCAAGTAAAACAAAATGAAACATTGAAATAAAATAAAATGTGGAATGATGAAGAAAAAATAAATTGTGTTTACAAAGAATCAGCAAGTTCAAAATAAAATTTCTGCGCATAATAATGCATAAGTTCAGAGACTGCGACGGCAAAAAGTTAATTCAATGCAACGTAACATTGCAGACAGGGAAAAAATTTAAAAAAATTGTTTAGATAATTTACAATTGCGGGGGAAACAGATAAGATTGACCGATTGTATGTAGTTTTTTCTTGCAACCTCGTCAGCAATTCGGTGCGCTGGTGTGCGTTGCAAAAGCGAAAAGGGTGTGTTGGCAAAATTTAAATCAACTCAATCTGCTTCATCTGGCACATAATTTTATACCTCGAGTCGACGATGGGGATGCGCAGGAACGATTTTACCACCCTCGGGACAGAGACACCCCTAGGATGAAGAATGAGGGTGCATCAGGGTGGTGACGTTTTTCAGAAAGCGACTCCAGTCCAGACAGGACAGACGACGGACACTTTCAAAGTCCAGCAGCTTTTTAAAGATCCATCATCATGTGTTTCCTTTTGTGGGGCACAACAAAGGGCACAAAGGCGGCCAATCGCAGAAGGGAATTCGTCATTATGGGGGCGTGGCAATACAGTCACATGTAGCGCGAGAAATAAACACAGCAGGGCGCAATGCGGGCATGAAAAGTTAACAGTTTCCCTTTTTCTTTTACTCGGATTGAAGATTAAAGATGCTTTTAAGAATCGGAAATTCAGCAGCGAAAAGATTTTTCTCAACAATTTATGCACATTCATCAGGTTTGTCTGTTACATATATATTATCAATTTTCTTCTTCATAATTATAAAATTTTAAATTATCATGTTATTTTCATTATTTAAACAATTTTATTTTTACCATTTTATTATATAGCCATTAGTTTCTTTATTCCAAACATATAATTTGCATTTTTAATAAATTTATTTGAACCTTCTTTAGTTTGAAGTTTTGTAGTAATATGTTGAATTAATTTTTGTTTCTCCTTCTCTAGGACAAGGGAAAAGTGGTGTTGCTGTTATAAGAGTTTCAGGCCCAAAATCCATTGATGTATTGAAGAGGTTGACAGGTCTTAAAAAGGTACCACTGCCTAGAACAGCTATCCTAAGAAAATTTTCCAACCCGACCACAGGCTGCACAATTGACAAAGGGCTGGTGCTATTTTTTCCAGGTACCGCTTTCTTTTTTCCATTTCAAATTTTTATTTTTTACTTGTCGATATAGCTCCCAAGAGTTTTACCGGTGACGATGTTGTGGAATTTCACATCCACGGAGGAAAAGCAGTGGTCGCCGCAATGCTTTCTGCAATAGGCCAGGTTCAAAACTGCTTTCCTGCGGAACCAGGTTCTGACAATTATTTTGAATTTTATTGCTTGAAATGATAAATTTTTGTAATTTGTAGGAGATTTTACCAGGCGAGCCTTTTTGGCAGGAAAGATGGATCTGACAGAGGTCGAGGGTCTTGCAGACTTGCTCTCGGCAGAGACAGAAGCTCAAAGGCAGCAGGCCCTTTTGCAAATGGAAGGGCACTTGGGACAGTTGTACAAAAAGTGGGCCGAGCAACTGGCCAGGGTCAGTAACTTTCTTATTTTGGTTGTACATTTTAATAAAAAGAGAAATAATTTAATACAGTGCATGGCTCACGTCGAGGCGTTTATCGATTTTTCCGAAGACGATAACATAGAGGACGGAGTTTTGGAAGCTGTTGATAAGCAAGTAAAAAACCTTATGAAAGAAATTCAGGGCCATCTATCTGACGGACGAAGGGGAGAAATTTTACGATCAGGAGTGTCCGTCTCAATTGTTGGAGAGCCCAATGTAGGAAAAAGCAGCATCCTCAACACCTTGGGTAGATAATAAAAATGTTCAAAAATCTCTAGTACAAAAAAAGTATTTGATTTCAGCACAAAGACCAGCAGCGATTGTAACGTCTCAAGCTGGAACAACCAGAGACGTCGTCCAAGTCTCTCTTGACTTGGGAGGTTATCCAGTGCAACTCTCGGACACGGCTGGGTTGAGAGAGGCAAATGACGAGGTGGAAAAAGAGGGAATTCGGAGAGCGCGCGTCTCTGCAGAAAAAGCAGATCTTGTTCTTTTGGTTGCTTCAGCACCAGAGATTTATCGAGACTCGTTGCAAAATATGGGTTTTGACGATTCGATAAAAAAATACCTAAGGAAATGTGACTTGGAAATCAACCCTAAGAACTGCATTATTATCCTTAACAAGAACGACCTGCTTGAAAATGATCCCTCTGATTTCGTGTGTCTTTCAAATTTATATCAAAATATCAAATTATGAATATTTTTCTTGCAGACAACCGACTTAAACGTTGTCCACACATCTTGTGAGAGCAGAGAAGGAATGAATCAACTTTTAAAAGTACTTCAAGAAAAACTGAGCCTACTGTATGATTTTAAAATTTCGCCACATTTCCTTTAATATTGATTAAATTTTAGGTGTGGAGAGCCATCGAAGGAATGCCCAACAATTACCCAAGCTCGGCATAGAGCTCATATAGAAAACTGCTCAAATTATCTTCAAAAGTTCTTGCTTTGTATGGAAGAAAATCACGATTTGGTGATTGCGGCAGAGCAATTGCGCCAAGCTCTACGGAATTTGGGCCTGCTCACGGGAAAAGTTTCCACGGAACAGCTTTTGGATCTAGTCTTTTCAGAGTTTTGCATAGGAAAATAATTAAACACTTTTTTAAAAGATAAGATCAAACTTTACTTATGATCTGCACGCAAAAATTACAAAGTTCACTTTTCATAATACGGGGGTCTAAAATAAGGTGCCTGTCCTGGCAGCGTAGGGGGCTGGTGCGGCATAACATAATTCGAGAAGTGGAATGGCGGTAGTTGCGGATGTGCCTGCGTAGAACCTGGGCCCATTAGTGGCGGCGGATAAGAATGGTGATTTGGAGGCGGGTGTTGATACATGTTAGGCGGAGGAACGTTTGTTGGGGGCGGACCAACCGGCGGTAAAATGTGTGGGGGCGGCAACAGCATATCCGGAGGCAACTTAACATCATCGGATTTTAAGTCAATTTTTTCATCTTTGAGCACTTTCGAAGAACCTAGAATTTTATTATAATTTAAAAATAAATTTGTCATTAAAACATTTACCTGGAGAATCGGGGTTACTGGAAACGGCTCGTTTAAGAGACGGAGGAGGAATAGGCTTTATTGTCGATGCTCCCATGGGTGGCGAAACGGCAGGTGGGGCCACTTTTGGCTTCGAGTACAAGTCCAAGACTTGGTGACAAATATCTTAATAATTTACAATATTAGTTAATTTCTCCTGCAAATAAAATGGTACTAAGAATTATGGAATTTATTCACCTTCTAATAAATCCATAGTGATGTCTTCAACAAAAAGGTCCCACCAACGGAGATGGTGATGTTTTCGACCGTGCCACGTTTCCACCTCGAACTTGCTCAACTTGCTGGCCAAGTACATCAAGGCCACTGCTAAGATTTCCGGCTCCCACTGCAGACTCAGGGTTGTGCACAGACTAAGATTTAAAGGGAAATATGAAATTAAATCTCTTTTCAGACTTTTTATTGTACCTGTCGTTGACAAAAGTCCAAGCCATCTGCACCATTTTCTGCAGCTTCACCTTGTCACCTTGCAAGGCCTTGGCATACTTTAGGAGGTATTGGTACGGGTGTTCCACTTGCAGGTCAAACTTTATCGTCTGAAGAAGTATTCTCTCGAGAGTCATCACTTCCTCCTATAAAACAGATTTAAATTATTCTTTAATAATATTAAAATATTTTAGAAGTTGTTATTTTTGATGAAGAGGAACTATAATAATGACACCAGCATGAAATTGAGAAAACTACTGAAAAACAAATATTTTTTAATTATTTTTAAGCATGCATCCCTAAGTGAAGCAATAATAATAAAATTAGCGAGCTAGAAGTTTGTACAGCTTCAATTCACTATTTTACCTCTAATGAAGATAATAACAATAAAATTATAACTACAACATGCTCCAACAGCAGCCGACGTCCAACTTAAGATGCAAGAGTGACCGAAATGCGCGCTTACAGTGTGTACCTTGGGGTCCTCTCCAAACTGCAGAAACTTTTGCTCCGTCAAAAGACCGCGTGCCGTTCGTATTATGTCTTTGCACTTTTTCGGAGTCTCCTCGACCTTGCCAGCGAGGAAAAGACAGCAACAGGCGGTCACCTTAAAAATGAAAATTTATTAGCACTTTTGCGAGTTTCATACAGGAAGATTGGTTTATTACGTAGCGAGGGAATGCCCGAAAAGAGTGGAACATGTAGAACCGGTGGAAGTAGACGACGCCCGTGGCCATCGTGTTGTAGCCCAAGTCCATTTTGGTGCCGGTGTCGATGATGAAGCGAGCACCTTCCTTGCGGTAGCGGCATTCAGTCTCATAGTCGATTCCGTCCTGAATTGAAGGAGTATTTCGTAGCTCTTTTTTGTCATAGTACCAGTAAGGCATTGTCAATTAACAAAATACCACCGTAGGGGCACGAATTTTAAAACCTTTGAAACACTTTGTTTGGCTTTGTTTATGTCTTCAAGTGGAAGCGGCGGCCATGTTGGAAAGTTGCTCGGGTGGTTGACAGGTGGCGCCTCCTCTGCAGGATATTCAGTGGATAATTTTCAAGGTAATGAAACATGAAACGCACTCTTCAGCAAAACAATCAAATTTAAAGCATTAGAAGAAATTTCAATGATCTTTAACAGCGCTAACGTCCAATAAATTAACAAATTACCTCTTAGTCAAAAATTATTTGATTTATAAATTGTAAATTTAGACCTCATTGCGCAAGCCTCGATAGCGCAGTAGGCAGCGCGTAAGTCTCATAATCTTAAGGTCGTGAGTTCGATCCTCACTCGGGGCATTTTTTAAATCATACAATCTGCATAGAAATCAAATTTAGTGTCCACGGTTTCTAAATTTAAGCATTTTTTTTATTCCAAGACTGCAAAATTTTTAGTATAAACCATTTTTTATGCTTTCAAATTAACATGCAGAGCTGAAATACACGGTGTGGCTTAAAACTTAAAAGACATAAATATACTAAAACACCAAGCGCGGTATGAAAGTTTTTTAACGAAATTTATCCTCTCCATGGTGTAAATTGTGCAATGTTTTTTTTTATTCACAAAGCCTGCGCAAATTGCGCTCTCGCAAAATTGTGCTGGAAACTTTTAATGATGAGGCGCGGTGAGATCTGGCGAAATTATTTTCTGCCGCCTCTCCAAGCGCAGGTTATTTTTAAAGGTCTCTTGCTGTGAACTACGGTCATTTTGAACATAAAAACCTTGTTTATTGAGAGGGAACTAGCAGGCCCTCGGCAAAAGTGATTTTGCAAGAAAAAATTTGGACAAAAAAATCACTTTTTTGTTTTTAAACTTTGGATGGAGGGTTGTGGAAAGTGTGCTTCGGCGGAATGCTTTTAGTGTGACTTTTTTTTATATAATCGAGTTCATTGATTAGATTTTTCCAGCACTCAAAGTTTTTGCAAAATTCAAACGCCTGGAATTTGGCGGAGTATGCAACCTGCGTGACGCGCTTGTGATGCGTGAAGTGTGTGTGAACATTTTGCCACTCAACGACAAAAGAGAGACGTTCGATGCTCTTTTTTCCCAAATTATTCTGATTCAGGGTGTCCCGAGAAAAGAAAGTTTGCGCTGTTTTCAATAACAAATCCGCTCATCAGGCGGGTGCGAATTGAGATTCGAATGCAAATGCAGATCAAAAGTTGGTCGGATTTCCTTGCGCTCAGCCGAGTGCAAAAAGTTTTATTTGATTAAATCGTCTTACGAATGGAAAGGCAATTGCAAAAGTTTCAACTTTCGGCTAATCCGAACCGCGAGTAGAGAAAGGAGGAATAAATTTTTCCTTGCCTGACAGCCGGTATCATTTTTCTTCTTTTGAGCGGGAGATAATTTCACGCCTGCGAACACTCCGCGTTCGCCACCTTTGCTTCTCAACCTCTAATTCGGCCGCAACACATTTCAAATTCTGGCCACTTCCTTCCCAAGCCCTTTCTCTCTGAGCTGATTAAACTAACGAACTTTGGAGCAAAAAGTTAAAATTAGAAACGCGCACCACGATGAAATTGGATTATATTTGATGGCCATTTCCAGATTTAACACTATATCTTTTCTTCTACCATGAGGGGGAGATTGGGAATATAAGAGGTGAAAGAAATAATAGAAATTCTGGGCTACTGATGTTTCCAAATGGATATGAAATTTTTTATTGTATGAAATACAAATTTATAGAATAACTAAAAAGCACAATTTTCAATCAAATTGAAAATGAGTATTATTTGAACATAAAAAATACAAGATTTTGACCAGGAAACTCACCGCACAATTTAATTTTCTGAATTTCTCGATTTTATTTTTACAGATAATTCACAAAATATGATAATTAATGTTTCTAGACAATGAACTACATGAAAAAGAAAAAATAATTGAGAAGGCAAAATAAATATCAAGCAATGTACAGTATAAACTTTTACATGTTTTTTTCTAAATTCTAAAATGTATGGTATAAATTTACTTAAAAATCGCACAACATCATAACTTGTTGGTTTAATGCCAGTTTTAAATGATGCACAGAGTAAGTATTGGAATCGTGAATATTTGAACATTAACAATAATTAAGAGGCTCTTTATGTTTTTATTTTTAAAAGAGTAGAATTAAGTGCAGGTAGTTATGTTATTTGCAACGCATATTTTAGGTTTTTTACTAGTTTTTATTGGCGTGTATTAAAATTTTCTTGTTCTGAATAATTTAAATTAATCTTGAAAGCATGTTTATTTGTTGTCTTTTTTATAAGAAAAAAATTAGCAATATTGGATGCTATAAATTCCATGTTTTTTTTTTATATTGATAATACATTGCAACAATTGCAAATAGAAATAATGCAATTTTTATCCCTTTGCTTAAAGATGCACCAATGTGACATTGTGTGTTGCTAACCCAATAAAAACGATTTTACCAACCAAAATTACTATACCGGCCGTTTAAGCACAATTAATTTACAAAATAAAATACCATCCAGGCAAGAAGCACAAAGCTGGTAAAATAATGCAAATAAAGAATATATTGATAGACCTATAGAAGAGAATTGAAATTGAGTTGTAGGCTGGCAAGTGAGGAGTGCATACTTTAATTTTCTATTCAAACCTTCAAATACACGTTCATTTATCAAATGGTTCGCAAAAGTACACATTTCCATTATCAATGGAACATTCACGCATTGATCATAATTACAACACCAAAATTAACATCTCTCTTCGCAAACTCTGATAATTAAGAGTCATTCTCGCAGCTGCCGGCACACACAAAACAGGATGGAATCGCGACAAGTCAATCAAAACGCGCCGCGCGTTAATCACTGTCAATTGACACCAATGAAAGGGCCACACCGCGGCCAGGTCACGCCCGACAAAAGAGCAAGAGGGCACCGGTGCTGACCAACACAAACCACACAGGTCCCTGGGAGCAGGCGTCGTTTCCCATGTCACGCTGCATCGCCTCGGTGTGCTCACCTGAGTAAAAGAAAATCTCGTATTAATTTTCTTAAAAATCGATTCCATAAAAAAATTATTTTAATGGTCTTCAGATTATTTTTATTAAAATGTTCATTTTAAAATAAATCATGGATGTAAAATAGCGGATTTAATTCTCAAAATAACTATAATTCTAACATTTTTTTTAATTTACTAATTTTTTGATAGATTATAATTTAGCTATTCTAAATTTTTTATAAAAAGAGAAAAGTGAAAGTTTAAAAATAGCTGTGACGTCTGTAAGTAAATTTTATTCTTTTCCAGTTCTTTTCCCTCTCACATTTCCAAGGAGTTGAAACGTTACATTTGAAACGAAAGTGGAGCACATATCATAACAAACATTGAACGAGAAATTCAATATCCCATCAGATTTTTTCCCATTTGAAACGAAAGAAGTGAATGCGTAATACGCACTCGAGTGACTCTGTTTACGGAGCAGCAAAATTGATACTGCCGCGAGCTGCCACCAAGGCCGCTTCTTCTTTAGGGTTTAATTTGTTGTGACATGCACGGGGCGGGATGTGTGGAAATTGGAAACCACTCGGTCGGACGGGAGCACAGAGAAATTAATTTTCTCGACAGGCGGTTGCACTTTCAATCAATAATATGTATCATCTTTCTTCTGACAGTAAGAAAAGAGATACAAATTCAAAGCAAGATACAGAAAATTTATTCAATTTCTTTTATCAATTGGATCGTTAGATTTGATACACACTTACGAATCGAAAGCGCAATAAAAATTTATAATTGAAAACGAAGGTAGAATCATAGAATGTTTATATCATAATTATTTAAATTGAAAATAATGCCATTTAATAATTTACTAAACAAATTAATGATAGATAGATAGTAAAATCAATGAAAAAAAAAATTAAAAATTGTAGGAAGAAAGAATTGTGTACCTTCAACAACTATGAGTGCCACACTAGCTGCATTGGCCTCTGGCGCTGTGGCCGCGGCGACACAAGTGTAGTTTCCTGAGTCGATTTGCTGCACCTGCGCCAGGGTGATTCTGCTCGTGGCGCCGCCGTCACTGCGTTCTGTGTCCACACTGATGGGGCGGAAGCCCTGGCGGTGCGAGACCGGCAGGTCGCCGTGGTACCAGGCCACGTTCACACTGCCCTTGGTCCACTTGGCCACGCAGGTGAACGTCACCGTTGTCCCTGTCTGCACAAACTGTTCGTTGGGACCTGAGATTTGAACCTCCGGAGACCCTGAAACTGTAATAAAGATTTAATTATAAGAAAAAGAATTGTATGTTGCATCAAAATTTTTTTAGATTAATATTTGAATTTGTTCAAAATTAATTTTTAAATTTTTTATTACAAAACTTTCACAAAAATACAGAAACTTCTATCTGGAAAATAATTTATTAAGCTTATTACTTATAAAGAAAATTTTTTAAATTTATTTCTGAAGTTAACAACAAAATTAATGAGATTCAATACAAAAATTTGTGGAATTTGTGGCTGTTAAAGTTGACAAATATTAAATCCCGATTAATTTAATTTGTGATCCTTTGATTACAAGTTAATTTGCTTGTTAAAGAAATTTAGTTTCATAATTTATCATCATTGTCTCTTTGAATAAATTAATGCTGAGGAATTTCCAACAAGCCCTTCTAATTTGTAAGTTAATTAGAATGCGCGAAAGGGACGCAGATTTAGTGAAATGCGAAATAGAGTGAACTGACCGTCCTTTCTGGGCGTCACTTTGCTGTCAGCCGTGACGTAGGGCGAGTCTTTCATGTCGGCATCATCTGAAAAGGGGCACACTTGCTTAGTTCCGAGAATCTATTTGCTGCAATCGCGCTTAATGTTTTGTTTTGCCGGCACTCACTTCTGACGTCGAGCAGGACGGCTCGCATCATTTTGGGCTCGGTGTTGACCTGACACTCGTAGCGACCCTTGTCTGATGGCCTCGCGGACACGATTCTCAGGGTCCAGAGGTCCGAGTTGGGCGGATGAACCACCTCGACCCTCGCGTCCGACGTGTACGTGTGCGGCCCCGAGGTCAGGATGTGAAGGTCGCGCTGCCTAATCCACGAGATCTGGAAATAGGAATAAGAGGGCTGAAATGAGCGCGAGTGATGACAGAGGATAATTAGTTTTTTAATTGGGAGAGCTAGAATAGGCTGCGCGTTGTTCGGAAATGAGATAAAGGAAATATTCTTTCAAAACCTATTTTCTGTGTGGTCTATTGTGTTGATTTTCATGGAAATTTCTATAAATGTTGGAGTTAAGTTGGAGCTAACAACCAGATATTTAGTTAATCTTAAATATTAAAAAAAATGCCTGCTCTAAAAAACATAATGACCTAATGAGAAGGATTTATAATTAAAATAAATGCAATAAATTAATTTCCTTCTTTTAATTGTTCTAATTTTTACACCTCCAGCTGCAAGCAGATCAAATTTGTATCTCAATTTGTGTCTGAGTCTCCATTTGACCCTCGTCGAAAGGGAGCCCGCACAAGTTGTCAGTTTGGAAAATGATTTTTGACGTGCCCGGCCAAAGCATCAGCACGCCGTGCCGCCGGTAAATACATTTTCCCAAAAGGAGCGAGTTTTTCGTGAGGCTGGGCCGGTATCCATTTCAGCCTTTATGTCATATCTCAATAAAGAAAGGGAGTTGCCGCCTGGCTCGTGCGCGCTTCCAAATGGATTTTCCGATAATAGTGTGTCGGCGGCTGCTGCGATGAAGAAGCAAAAATCGCCCGCTCGCTTTTCCTCGGAATTAAATTTGCGTCTGACTGCGCGCGAGTGAGACAAGGCAAAGTCGAGGCTAAATATCAAATGCCCCACGAAATTAATTTTGTCGTCGACACGCGTGTTCATTTCATTTCGTCAGCCGGCAGCTTTTCCTTCTCCTTTGAGGATGCTTTTCTTATCCAGCGAATCGTCTTGGCTGCTTTTTGGGCTTGAGACGTTTTTGCGCTCTCTCGTCTCGCAGCCTGAATCGTAGTTAATATTAAATAAGTCAACGTCTCGTGCTTTTCATCATCTTGTGTGTAATACGCGCGCCACGATAAAAGATTAAAAAGCAGCCTTGTGTTCCATGTTGACAATACCACAAGTACGAGTTTGCGGTTCGAATGCCTGTGACGCAAATTAATATCAATCGTGTCAACATATCAAACTCAATTTTATAATTTTAATTTTTATCATCGTTTGTACTCTTCACAAATATCTCAATCAATTTCCAAAAGCTTGGTCAAGCTCTATAAACTACAACTACTAAATCACTCTTCGCCCCTCTGGTTTAAAAAAATGTCCAAATAAACTTTGGTTTAATTTAATTTTGTACTTCTTAATTAAATAAAAACGCATGATAAGAGATAAGATTAAGAGGAACACATGCAAAATCAAGGTTAGTTTAGATTATAGACTATGTGAATTAAATTGATTCCCTAATGTTTTAAATCAATAAAGCTTCTTTTTACTGATAAAAATTATAACATTAATTATTTTTAAACCTTGAAGTTGATTCGATGCAACCAAACATTTTGGAAATCAAGTGCGGCGCCGAGTTTGAGGATTGAGGATGAAGACATCTGAAGAAAAAGTGCTACAGGTGCTCAGTCTAGCTTCAAAGGAATAGCAGCACCTTTGATCCTACGCAGTGTTATTATTTCGCATTCAGACTAAAATCCTTTCCGGGAAGATCGTTTCAGACGGAATTTCTTAGAAATTCACTTATTTCCCTCCGGGTCCGCGACTGTTATGAAATCTGAGTGAGAATAATGACGACCCCACTTGCGAGTGCAAATCGCCCTGGTAGTGTTTTGTACATTTTCTACCTTTTTATGAAAAGAAAAATTGCTCAGCATTCAGGTGCACGCAACTGGATGTGACTATTTAATATGCAAAGTGAGGGCTTGAGTGAGGAGGAACACACAAACGGACAAGGTAAACACTCTCTTTTTGTGCTATTTCAAGAGCAAGCAGACGCACGTAGGGAGCTGTTTTCATGTTCGAGGCTCATTTTCACAGGGTGGTGCAGCAAAAAGTTGAATGTTAACACGCGCTTGTGTTCCGTCTGGAAATGAGTTTACGCCAAATGGTAGACTCTCTTTACATTATGTTTAACATGAAAAGGAATCTCTGCAAGTTTTACACTAGGTGGCAATAAAACCTATCGCAAGAATTGTACAAGATTCGCAGAAAAGAAAGCTACGAAAATCGAAGCTCATCCCTCTCTTTTGAAGAGATTTATTTTATAAAAAAAAAACATCCCACGCAGGCATATTATGATAGTGACCAAAAGAAGCGAGGCTCTCTGAAGAGTGTTTGCCAACTTTACGATTCATAAATAAATTTTCATAAAGTGCGTTTACGAGGAAAGCGGTAATAAAACAAAACACACACAAAGCCAGGCCAACACACGCGCTTTTGTTGGCCGAGCGAGGGATAGATTATTTTTATGATGATTCGACGGCGGTGGAGAAGAGGTCGCATTATTATTATTATTATCGTCATCACTTTTTGCCTGTAGGAAAATTGCTTAATTTACAGCCGGGCGGGGGGTGTGCGTTTAATTGAGGTGCACGGCCTTTAACCGCCAATTATCTTGTCAAAACCAATAACGACCGACTCGTGTGTATCGATTGGAGAAAGAAATTGGAAAAAAATCTGAGCGCGTTTTATTGTCTTCACCTGCGGCGTCTGGGCGAAGCAAATCAACTTTGTGAGCGCACCTGGAGATTTAATTATACATGCAAACCGATATATTTCTTGGGTACAAAAAGACGATTCGTTTCGCGTGGGTGATTTCCAATAAAGTCTCCGTGACATTTCACAAATTGTATGAGTTATAGGAATGAATTCTTCAGGGAATAACAATTCATTATTTTGAATTGCCAAGAGAGAAGTTGAATTCTTTTGGTTTTCTTTGTTTGAGGAAAAGTTGGAATAAGACCCTTTTCAATTTTACCGAGAATTTTGAATGTGAAGAGAAAATAATGAGCAATGAAGTACGGCTTTCCAAATAATTTCACTTACTGGTTATTACTTTTCAACAGCAAGGATGGTTATTTTAGGGAGGAATTTTTCCCAAATTCAATTTTAAGTCTCATTTCTTATTTGTAAGCAAAGAAATAAGAAATTTTCGAAATTTTCTTCAACCAATTTATTTATTTATTGTAACATTAAAATTGCCATATAAATTTTCCACCAGACCGTGACCCAGAAAGCATCGGATCGTGCACCAGAAAATGAGAAAATGCCGCTGGTTCTCCCAGCTCTTCACAATTATAGTCTCTCTCGTTTTCCTCGGAAGGAGTTATGAGAATGAATGAGAAAGAAGCTAATATATCACAACAAGGAAAGAGAGCCTTTCAATGCAATACATTCAACTCCGCAGTCACAAATAAAATGAAATAGGAGAGAATATCCACTTCTTGCTGCAGGCAATCCACAGCACATGTAGTTTCTGATATTTTAATTAAACTCAGAGACAGATAAATCTCCCGCAAACTAATCACCGACAACTTTGAGAGAAAGAAGGAAAAGGAACGGGCTAATAAATTGGTGTCTGTTCGATTTTCTGCAGTGAGAATAAGCACTACTGTGTAGTCCAGCGTCACAATAATTGCACTCTATTGTCGCGACAAGACTGCTGAGGGCTATTCAGAAATCAAAAAATGAAAAATTATGGAAATAACTTGTAGACAAATAAATTTAAAATGGCTTATCCTTGATCGAAATTTTATTATAATGCTAAAAATAATTCCCAACGCTACTTAAACAAACTATAACAATAATAGCTTGATAAATAATAATGAAAAAGAACAAAATAAATATTGCTTTGCTTTGGTTCAAAATAAATGAAACATATTAATATCTATAATATTATATTAAGAGGCCAAATAATAAAATTTTAACAGAACTTTTTCTTTAGTGGGCATGAAGAAACAATTCTGTAAATTGAAGCACCCTATATTGTTGGAGAAGGATGCATTTTATTTGCCTCAAGCGAGCGCATTCTCACCAGAGAGCACCAAGATAAAGTGGCAACATGAAATCTCCCCTGCTGTCTGTTGTGCAGCTTGTTGTATGGCACGACTTAAAAGGTCTAAATTCCTCGAAAGACAATTTTTATTCCTCGGCCGTAAATTGAGATACATGGGTGAACAACTGGTACGCGACTCTGCTAGTTTTATCTTCGCTGCAAACAAAGATATTTTTTACCCTTTGACTTGGTTGCTCAACCCGAAAGAGTAAAAATAACCCCAAAATACAATTTGCGAATATTCGCAAGCCCGGGATCAAATTTTCAGCTCGAGCATATGGATGAATGTCTTTGTGTGTATTAATGATGCTCGCCTGATTAATTATAAGAGGATTATGCATGTCATTTGGCCGGATTCGTCGTTTTGCTTCTTCCACCCGACGGAACACTCCCTGTTTTATTGTTCCTGCTCAAACTCTGAAACCGCCTAAGGGAAATTATCCCGCTGTCAAGTCGGGTCCCGTTGGCGTTTTTGTGCAAAATTTGTGCACGCACCTCGTCTGCAAAACGGCTTAAATATGTAGTGACATACACAAGAGTCAATTAAATTATTTCTCAAATAAATCAGAGTCCCTTGACTTTGATCCTATACTTATTGTGTAAGTTATGCTTAAATAACAAATTGTTTCTTCTAATTAAAGTAATTTTTTTACTTTATAAAAAAAAATATGCTTAAAATACACGATACCACCCTAAAGGATTATAATTTTTGCCTGCAAATACATTGGCAAATATAATTTATTATATTTCGTTTTATTTAATATTAAATTATTTTTAAATATAAGAATGGCAGTAATTATTAATTACATATTATAAAATGTGATTTATTTTTCTTGATAAATTATGAAATAATATGACTGAAACATTATTACAGATTAAAAAAATATAATGTATCTTGTTTGTCTAAGATCAATCTAAACGGCTAAATATTGTATTATAGAAATGGCTTATCTCTTTTGAAGCTTGAATTTTCTGCTTTCAGATGATAAATTATTTTACTATATACAATTAGAGAATTAACTTCAGTAAATGATGATGCTTTTGAGACATTTACATTGCAAATCGCATCAACTCGAGAAGCATCTGTTATCACACTGGCTCAGCCTGGCGCGTGATTATGCATTATTGCCGCGGTGATATACGTGTTACAGGCGGTTTAAACTCATTTGCACTCAGCGTACGTATGCTCATGCCCACGATTATGAAGTTGTGGCGAACGGACAACTTGCTGACATGAGTTTGTGCTGACAAGAAAACTAATAAATATTCTTGGATGACGTCCGCCGTTTTTATGGCTCCCAGGCTTTCTCTCTCTCCCGTTTTTTTTTCTCCTCGTCCCAATTTTTTTCCAGTCAAAATATATTTATGAAAAAAAGAGATTTATAGGCACTAATTTAACAAATCGGCCATCAAAAACAATGTTTGGAATTTTCTGCCGAGTTGATAAATGCTGCGAGTTTATTTTGATTCGCAGGCGTCGCTTCCAATTTTGCGCGACGATAATTGCCTGTTTTTATTGTAGGCCCCTTTTTACGAGCGGCGACCAGTGAAAAGTGTGTGAGCGTCACAACGGCCGCTATTTTTAATTTGTGTCGCCCGCCGAGGTGCGAACATTCTTTTCTGTTTGGCCCGCGCCGCCCGCCCCAGCCCGCGGCCTCTTTCCCCAGAATAATGGCTCCAAGGACCAGAAACGACGTCGCAGAGGACGAGCGGAGAAAAATGACAAAGATTATACAACAGCGACAGACCAGTTTGAAAAGCAGACAGATTATTTATAGGGTGTTTATTGGGGCAAACTGAGTCCCAAGTCGTGGTAGAGGGGACCATGTTTAACACTTTCAAGTTGATAATGGTGCACACTTAAAAGTTAAAGCCGATGGAACTTTAAAAAAAATGCATTCATGTTAATGCAGTGTTGTAAATGAGAAGTATGAGAAAATAAAATATGTGTGACGTAGAAATAACATTAATATGTTCCGAATAATATAATATGCAATAAATATTATAACATCCCATGAAAATAACATTTGAAAAATTTAATCTGATTCACATTATATTTCTTGCAAATGGTTTAATGAAATTTTTGGACATAACATTCAAGCGTTGATTCCAGCAACAGCAACGATCAAAATGATTTTTTTTTCATGAGCGGTAGAGGCTTTGATTTATTATTATTTTAAATAATATATAATAAAAAATGGTCAAATATCTTCATAAAATTTGGAACTTCAAAAGAAAATAACAATTATTTATAAAAATGTTTTTATTACATTGAATTAAAATTTTAAATTCTAATTGCAGTTTAATTATGGAACATGTAAATAAAATGGAAAAAATTTTTTTTAACCATAGAATTATTGATTTAAAATTGCCATTCCGATTTTGCACAGACTTTAAGCTCACAAAAATAAGTTATGAATATGAGAAATATAAAATGTGTTTCCAGAATCCAGAGAAACAAACATCACTTTGTGAAAGCATGGCAGTAAATATTCAAATCGGGTATCAAGTGCAGAATGCAAATTTTTCACCCTGGCCCCCATTGTTGTTGTCCTTTAAGGGAAACAGAGCGTCGCTCGGATGACGAATGGCGAGAGAGGCGCGTGCAATAAATATCACTCTCCAGAGAGAGCGTCGAATAAATAACGTTGCCAAATCCGGAAAGGTGAATTTGCGCGCCGTTTGAATAAATAATGACGCTTGGAATTGAAAGTGTTGCGGAAAATATAGTTGCATTCGTATAAAAGCCTATGTCGGACTAAAGTATTTTGGGGGACAGAGCGACAGTTGGTTCACATGTGTTTTCACGCCGGCTTCGCATTTATAAATGATGTTCCCTTTGAAAGACATGCACAAACAGACCGCGCACGGTTTAACAGTCGAAAATGGTGCTCGGCCGGGATTAATCGGATTATTCCGTGTCCTTCCGACAGAAATGAATGAGAATTTATTCCGCTTTTTGATCTTCGCTTTCGCCACCGAAAAAGCAGGGTGCGCTTTGAAACAAAAGAAGCACTCTTGCGACAAAAGCCGAATTCCTGCGGCGCAAGTTGTATGCGGCGTGACGTCAATTAAACGGAATTCTATATCGTCCGCTCCACCGCCAAAATCGACGCAAAATTGTTGCTCTCTGTGAAATATCCGATTTCCTGCTTCGGTTACAAAAGTGATGTTTTCGAACCCAGTGCTTTTATCGCAAAAAGAATTTTATAGAGACAAGCTTTTAACTTTTAGGCGTTTCATTTTTCAACTAAAAAATGCCAATTTTTATTACACATCGAATATTCCAGGAACAAAATTTTTAAGTGTGATCCTATTTCCAGTAGCCAATTTGGCACCTAATTTTGTATGATTTTATTTCAAACTCATTTGTACTGTACAACTTCGTTTCAACTTAAAACTCGCAAAATTTCATTTTATGTTTACTGCAACAAAATATACAAAGTCCTTGATACTTTAGCTTTTGTTTTTCAAGCACAAATTAAATTTATTAATTATTTAAATTAATAATAAAGCTGGTGATGTAAATATTAAAGGTGGAAAGTTACAAAGGAGATTATAAAATTTCAAAATCAATAAAAAGTCACTTAAATAATATATGACCCAATTAATTTTTGTTTTTGAGGATTGGAAAGAAAGAGATGGTTTTATAAATGGAAAAATTAATTGCTTTTGTCTTGCAAGAGCTTATATTTAAAAATTTTAAATGCAAGAGTCAAATAGGTTCAAAAAATGTGATACTTTTTATAAAAATATTGCAAAATAAGCAGGGGGCCTTTGGCAATAAATGCTAAAACACATTATAAATAATAAAAATATAAGAATTTTCGCAAAACAATCTCACTCATAGCTATTCACCCTGAAAATTTCAATTCAGTAAACCTACAAATTTTAAGATCAAACACAGAAAATTTCACCCTCTACAATTCTCATCTTGGAGTGATTTTTGAAGTCTAATTTAAACGTTTTTAATTAGCGCGGCCAACGAATGTTGCTAATTTGTGTGGAATAACAAAGGGCGCAATGATTATTATTCCAGGGCGCCACCAAAAATGCTCAGCCCAAGGGATTATTTCGGCGCACAGGAGATAATTAGGGCTGCCCTTGGGGCTTAATTACCGCACACTGCTGCATACTTTATCGCTCCACTCTGGGCTGCTGTGCAAAATATTTATGTCCTCGTCGTGAAAAATTATTTCCCGCTCTGCGAAATTAGCCAGAATGATTAATGGTCGCTTAGCAAAAGACGCTTGGTAGTTTTCAAGGCTTGCAAAACACGCTGCCTCTATAATAGATTTTGCAAAAGAAATCATTATTTTTGCTAAAAAATTGTGCGGGCCCAGACTAGTATGCAACCCGCGCGACGAGCAAGCAGAGTTTTATCGCCAGACCGCGCTCTAATGAAATATGGCTTGTAACGATCTCGTGTCAGAGTGAGAATAAATGGAAAGGAAAATAAAGTACACGTCCGGCACTTGAAATAAATTTCTCCACGGAACGTCAATTTTTCGATTAATTTGTGTCACTTTGGTATTATAGGCGGAACAGCGCATTACTCTGCTCAAATTTTAATCTGGTAGGGGAGAAAATCTGTAAAAATAAATTCTGCTCACCACTTTGTCTCCGAGGTGCTTGACCCTGCAAGGCAGATAGGCTGTTTGCCCGACTTGGACGGTTATTGCGGCGCCGCTTTTCACGTCTGCGTTATCAAAAACGGGCTGCTGCTCCAATGACTGAAGCTCGTCTTTGCTCCATCTCACTGGGGAACCGCGACTCCAGGAAAAATCTGCAAAATGAAAAGAATAGAAAATTATTAATTTATTCTCATTTTCAAAATTAATGAAAAAAAGGTTTTCTGTAAAAAAAACTAACGAGATCTGCTTTAATGTTTGAAAACAAATACAATCAAAAGAAAAAGTAATTCCGAGAACAAATCAGAGCAGCAAATAAAAACATTTTTTCAAATGCGTGAGTTGCAGTATGTTCAAAGGAAAATTCGAAAATAACTAAAAAAAGTTATTTGTTTGGAAGGAACTTTTATAATATGGAGTTCTAATTCAACTTTTAAACTAAAAGTATAATTTACAATACATTATTATAAATTTTCACAAAATTAAAAATAAAATTTCTTGTTAATGTGTTTATTTATATGCTCGTGGCAAATAATAAATAATGCTATAAAATTTCTAGCTATGCAAATTATACAAAATTTGATATGCATAATGCCTCCTTTGATTTGGCAGCTTTGCATGTTTTAAAGCGTCAGGGGTGGAAATTCAATGACGTCGCTCACTCGCTACCCTCATAAATTGAAAACGAGGATCCACTACTGCAAATTGATATCGCTCTCAAACACGCTTTAAAGCTCTGTTGACGACCAGAGCGGCAGGTTGGCGCAAAGTTTGCATTTGTACAACGTGATGGATTTGTATTGTGGAGTGAAATTCCAAACGAGACCTTCTAAAAGATAGGCACAAATAATATAAAAAGCTAGTGCAAAAATAATTTTATCTAAAAAGAGGTTCCAAAACTGCCAATTTCATCACAGATAATCAACTTAAGAGTGCTAGAAAGTAAATTGCCAGAAAAAAGTGAATATACCTTGGATATTTTTATTCAAGTCTTTCTGGTTTAAATATTTTCAAAAGATAACTTTTTTATAAATCAAGAATGCTATAAAATTTCTGCCCCCCCTGACCCCTCCCGCTTCTGACTATTTGTGTATATTTAATCTATTCAGAGATATAAAGCAAATATTTGTAAGTTGTTAAACGCTTACAACGCGTTTGACCGGATGCTGAATAAATTTTACTGCCTATAATATCGGAAATATTGCTTCCGAGCCTGCAAAATATTGCAGGACCCTTTAGCATGAAATGTCATAAATATTTTTGGACGGATTATTTGATCTGCGAGTGATTTTGAATTTGATGAGCAGCTAGATGGGAGATATATATTTATATAGGCCGACTGCCACGGCGTGTGTTGATAAATAATAAAATACATAAACGCATCATCGCCGCCGAGTCGAGCATAAACTTCCAACACACACGCTGCGAGTCGTTTTATGATGATACTTTTTCATCCGGCTCCTCTCTTTCTCGTCTCTCTTTTATTATCAGTCACTACTGCTGGCAAAGATGGCACTCTCTTTTTATACACAAAGCACCAGCCACTCTCTGCCGAGTGAAACGACTGGAGAGAATAATATTTTGTCTATTTACGCGACCAATTTCGTCGGATTCGGAATTTTATATGGTTCGAAACGGAGCTGCAGAAAATTAAAAAGACTTTTACTATAGATCTACTTCTATTCTGCAGAAATGAAACGTTTAATTAAAAATCAACAGGGATGAATGACAGAGATATTGTTTAGAATCAACACAAAAAAGATATTTCCCATAATATTGTTTTTTTCCGACGTGGAATTTTCTGATGAAAATTTTAATAAAGTTGAGAAATTTTCCTCGTAGCTTGCGGGGAATGTATAAATTTGATATAGTTTGCAACCCAAAACACGCCAAACTTCCTTAATTACAGCAACGTCTGAATATATACATTTTACGTCATGAACCTTTACCCGCCGCTTTTGTGGTTGATATGAGAGCTAAATTGCAAAGACAATTCACCAACTGGTGTCTCCATGCAGAAGACGGCACATTGCTCGCAGTTACGCCAAGAGACACCGCAATTTCGCAAATTAAATTCGCGAATATATACTGTATGATTACAGTATAAGTTAAACTCTCTGTACATTTTATTCTTCTTTTAGGAATTCCATTACCTAGATCAATTCACAATAAGATGAGCTAGCACACTTTGAAGAAGATTAATATTTATTTCTCCTTTTTTATATTGAATTTAGACAAGACCATTGATATAAGTATTAATTGAATAAAATGTTCAAACAAATCTATTTTGCTGTTTTAAAGATTATTCTAACACTATGGCTAAAAAATTAAAAAATAAACTTCAAATTTAACCTTTTTATCTGTTATAAGATAATAAAATTTATTATAATCAAGAAACGTTTAACATATATGCGCAAGATTCAGCGCCTTCGCACGAAAGGGCGATAGAAGACTTGTTATTTACTCACAATTATTAAGTAGCCACATCAAACTAGCATGAAATTGTACTCCCTTTTCCAGGACAACAAGGCTGCCTCTTCTAAAAGCCATTGAATTCTAAATTCAAAAGCTCCGAGGCTGTTTGGCTGTGCAATTTTGTTTTTGTCAAACTTCATTCGCCACATTTTTTTTTTAAAGTTTTGGCAATTTCACCCAGAGCAGCTCTCGTGTGGAGGCCCCTAAAAAAACTGCTCGGCTGCTTTGGCACATTGTGTAAGACTTCATAAGCCGAGTTAAATTAGCAGTAGCGAAACATAAGCCTGAACCAGCAGCGGCGAGGCGCAGCGCCTCATCATCTTCATTTTCTGGCTCTCAATTTCACCGCGCGCGGCTCTTTCATCTCTCGTCGGCTGCGGCAAAATCCAGAGGCCCGAAAACTTTACCTGCCGGCGGTGGTCTATGTGCAGCCACCCTTTCTTATTTTCACTCCTTCCTTCACTCCCCATAGCAGCACCCAAAGAGCGGGTCCGACAACTTTCACTTGAAATTTTGCCAAACAGCCGCGCTCGGTTACATTTGGTCTGTCAAGGGCTCTTTTGATTTTACTTTTTATTTCTCTTGAGAAAAGAGACTCTCTTTCTTTCTGCTCACCCACAAATAAAAAAGTAGAATGCCCTCAAACCTGAAACGTTTGCCGAGGGGGAATAAATGAAGTCTCGATCCTCTTTCATATTCCACCGGCGGATGTTTTGCAAAATCGCATACCTTGATTTGAATAAATCATTCTTATAACTTTGAATGCTGGAGATGGAAAAAAAATAAAATTCAGCTCTCCAGGGTGCAACTCTCAATCTTTATTAATAAATTAGGAAGAAATGCGGTGGAAAATTTTTTGAATTTGTGCTTCGCTTATGTCAAAGAGGGAAATAAATAACCGGCTCTCGCGAGATTTGGCCACTGGCCAGAAGGGAGGGGGTGGACGCTGCACGGATTTTTGTTATTTACTCGATGAAATTACTCCTGCTTTTACTGCTCTAGGTGACTGGCTCCTTTTATTTTTCCACTTTATTTTCTCCGTGATTTTTCGGCAGCTGCTCCCGGCGGCGATGTAGCCGCAACGATAAGCATTGTGTTCTTAATTAAGCGCCGAGCCAGCGAGTGGTGACATTGTCGACGAGACGAAAGGGCGCAGGCTTTAAATTAATAATCCGCAGAGAGGCACTCTCATTCTGAATTCACGTACAAGGCTGCTTGTTTTCTTTTTAAATAGGGCATGAAGAGCTTCGGAAAAAAGCTACATTAAAATTCTCTGCAAATTTATATTCTATTTTCTTGGATTAAAATGATAATCTGCATTTTATTTTAGTAAACTATCGTTTCTAGTTATTTCAATACTCTTTTAACCATAAAATTCCCCTAACCTAAACAAATGTATGTTTCCAAGTAAAATTGCATAAGACCATTTTTGAAAAAAAAAATGTTTTGATAAATATAACATGGACTTTAATCAAAATATTATTATTAAAACCGAAAATTTCACTTTATAAATATTTGCTATTTAGTAATAGATAACAAATTGAATATTAAGAATTAGTTACAGTTAAGAAAGAATAGATGATTTGAAGCAGTTTTCATTAAAATAAATTATTAAATCTTTGCTTTATATGAATGTTCTGTTTTGGATAATTAAGTAAAAATTGAAAAGACCTTCATATTAATTAATCTGATTTGTATTTTTTTTTCAAGTCTCGCCTACGTGGAGCCTTGAGCACATTGCCTCAGACAAGTAGCAAATAATCAAGAAGAATAGAGGAGTTAAAAGTAAACAGGTCGCGGAATTCTGGGCCGGCATTCGAGGATTGAAGGGTTTCACGCGCGAATAAAAAGTTTCGCGTTCGAAAGCACGGCAGCCGAAATTTGCTTTTTTCCCTCATCGTGACTCACTCACTGTCACGTCGCGATATAAAACGAAACGCCCATTATCGTCAGCCACGGTCCAATGTAAACGGAATTTTTATTATTCAAACACGTCCTTTATGACTCGCTTTTTCCCATCACCAACACTGGAATGGATCTAAAAATTAAACAATTGCCTCCGCGTTTATTTTCGTTCCTATCATGTATGTTTCTGACGAAATGAAATTTCCACTGGGCGTGCGAGGAATGAAAAATTCAAATTCAAATTTATGGCTTTTCTGTGGCATCTGCCAAAAACGAGAAACGTCTTTTCCGAACAGTTGTTGATAATAACGGGGATCCAACTTTGACAGACGTGTGTGGATATGTTTCAGTTCCCTTTGTTATTTCGATGCAAATGCGTCGAAATTTGTTGTTTATATCAAACGAAGATCTGGGATTTTTTTATTTTGCTCCCTCTGCCAAACAAAACATCTCCCTTCTCGGCCAACGGCTTTAATTAAGTTTTCGTCCACTTGACAAACTCGTGCCGCTCTTTGCTTTGACGAGGTTTTTTCATTTTATTTTTGGGCCTGGAAACAAAACAAAGCGGCCAGGCCAAATTGGCCACAAAGCGTGAAAACCAAAATTAAAAAGAGAAGAAAAAACTCGTTTATTTGTCGGGTGGAATTCCTGTTTTAATTCAAGCCCCAGGCGACGTAATAGAAAAATGCTGGAAATGCGCAGAGAGTGGCATTAAATTTGATCTCCAACCGGGGGAAGCGCCGAGCAAGAAGCTCTAATGCAAATGAGCGTGATGGACTGGAAGTGCGCTGCTCGTGACAAGCGCGCAAGGCTATTGCACAAACATATTTGCATCAAGCCTTTGACTTTGAGCTCAAAGCAAGTACATGAAAGGCTTTGCTGGTGAGAATTTGATATACATAGAGAGCATTGTTTATGGGTTTCCAATAAATGCAAGAATTGTGAAAATAGATTAAAATTCCAATTAAAATTGGTTAACAACAAAAATCGATTTTCAATTTGATACGAGAGAATTTTTTTTATTAAATCTAAATAAAGAACAAACTGAATACATTATTTTAGTTATTTTGAAATTGAAAAAAAAAAACATTTACTTATTGAAAAATGATAAATTATAACTTTTATTTATTTTGGGCTTGTAATCATGAAATTTTAAGTCAAACAATATTGATTGCAGATTAAGAAATTCTTATGAGATGATCATGAATGCGCAGATGCTTGAAAACAAAAATTTCTCTTTAACAAGGATTTTTTTTCTTTAAAATTTTAGTTATAAAATTGTTTTCTGCAGAATTAACAATAACTTTAAATAAATAGGCCAATGCACGATAACAATCAGCAACAACAATGCTGCTTACATCACTTTACATATTGCATTGTTGATTTTTTTCTAAAAATCACAGAAGATGTTGACCCAGGTCGTCCCTGACGAAGCCGGAGTAGAGCCAAAAACGCTGTCCATACTAGTTTTGGCCCTTCTGAGTAAGATTTTCAATTTTAATGAGTGGCGTGAAAAGTATTTTAATTGATCTCGAGGCGTGGTGGCCACGTTGGGCATGCTGAGCAACTTCACGATTTTGGCGACGGTGTGGCTGGACCAGCGTCTGCGCAGCGCCACCTGCTGGTTCATCTGCTCGCTGGCGGTCGCTGACCTGGTGGTGCTGACCTGCGCCGTCCCGTTGGCCGCCCTGCAGGACCTCCGAGGTCACTGGCCCTACGGCGAGGTCTTTTGCGACGTCTGGATCGTCGTGGACCTCACCTTCTCCACCGCCTCGCTTTTGTCCATCCTGCTGCTGGCCATCGACAAGTACATGAGCGTCAAGGTGCAAATAAAACCAAATTATTTTAAACCATTTCTTACTTAATCTTCATAATAAAAAGGCGAATTACCAACAGCGTAGAAATTCAGTTATGTCAGGAAAGTAGAATAAAATGCTTTTTAAGTTTTAATTTAATAAAATAAAAATAAGTACTTTCTAAATAAAAAATATCAATTTATACTTCTTTTCCTTTGAAAAGTTGGTAAAATTAATATATTTTTATAAAATCAAAAATACATAGTAGTAAAAATGACTTAATTTAATAAATTAAAATAAAAATAATCAAGTAACTTAAAATATAATCTGATTTAATCATAATAATAAATTTAGTTTACATTTATTCGTTTGCAGATTTTTTTCTTGTTATTAATCAATGTTTTTTTTGTAGTTTCCGTTCACATACTCGCAGAAGATGACGACGAAAGTGCTTGTGCTGGTTTTGGGCGGCGTGTGGTGCGGCTCGCTGATGTCCATCGCGATTCCAGTCTGGCTCAACCACCACCAGCACCACCTGAACCTGAGCGACGTTCCCCAGGAGGACAAAGTGTGCCTGGCCAAGTTCATGCCGCACTACTCGCTGCTGCTCTCCCTCCTGGATTTTGTCCTGCCCTGCGCCATCATGGTCTACATCTACTCGCGGCTCTACCTGCAGGCCAAGGAGACGGCCGACGAGATCAAGGCGGTCAAAAGGTCACTAGAGTGCAACTACGTGACCTCGGAGGAGAGCAGCAAGAAGCCGTCCATCACCAGACTGCAGCGTTTCCGCTACGAGTTCAAGGCGGCCCTCACCGTCGGCTTCATCATGGGCAGCTACCTGATCTGCTGGATGCCCTTTTTCATCGTCGAAATTTGGTCCAGCTTTGACGACAACTGCTGCTCTGACTTGACTTTCAAAGTAATTTACTTTTTTCATTGAAAAAATATGAATTTTCATGAATTTTAATAAAATTAAAGAAAAAAAATCACTACAATATAGATCACGGAAATTCCAAGTGAATTATATATTTTATTAATTGGGATTATGTAATTTCAGGTTGTCTTGTGGATAAGCTACGTGAACAGCGCTATTAACCCAATGATTTATGGTTTGATGGACAAGAAAATCAGGCTGGCTTTCAAGTCGTTCATCTGGCAGTCGTCGATCATAGCCCTGCCACGCTTGTCCATTGTTTACAGGGACTCTGTATCTCGCTGAGTTATTTTATGTCATTATTTAATATCATTCAATGTTTCAGTTGAAATTTTTTCCAACATTGTTTTACTTTTTACATACTTTTAAAACTACAACAATGAAAAAGAAATTTATAAACGGTCAATTTATTTTTCGATTGTTGCAAAGAACTCCAAAGTTGTGACTGTTGGAATTTCAAACTGCCAAACGAAAAACGTTTCTCTACCGTAAAAATGGACGAGAATGGTGCGCAAATTTTGTCCGAGCCCCTGAGCATCGTCATTTTAGCCTTCATTGGTAAGAAAAACGTCAATTTTCAATCTCTTCTCAGAAAATTTGCAAATCTTCAAAAAGGGTTGCTAGTGCTGTGCAGCTTTTTCGGCAACGCCGTCATCCTGACGGCCATCCACTTTGACCGGACCATGCAGAGCGTGGGTTACCTCTTCGTCGGTTCCAAGGCCGTGTCTGACCTGCTGACCATCATTGTGGTGGTGCCCTTGGCGGCCATCGACGACCTCCTCAACTACTGGCCCTTCAGCGACAAACTTTGCGAGGTGTGGATGGCCCTTGACGTGACCCTAGTCACGGTGCCCATTCTCACCCTGCTCGCCCTCGGAATCGACAGATACATCCACATGAAGGTGAAAATAAATTATAAAAAAAACACCATTATTTTATATTATTTACAATTATTAGAGCTAGAGTGAAAATTAAATAAATGAAACGCTTTAATGATAAAAAAGTAGATAAACCTCTCGTATAGGTATTAAAACAGACAAAAATAGTGGAATATTTTTTATCCAATTAATAAGGTTTAAATAATTAAAAATAATTTTTTTGTGTAAACTTTGCAAATGCATCATAAAAATCGATTCGTTTTGTTACCTTAGCTTTCAATTGTTGCATTTTACTATCATAAATAAATCAAACTTTTATTCTCAAATTATCTAAATTTGTTGGGGTGACCTTTTTATGTGACAAATCAGTTCTCAATAATGATTTTAATCAATGTAAATTGTATCATTTTTAAATTTTCTCTCAAACTTTCATATTTCTTTTGCGATTTACTTTTTCAAACTATAAATAAAAACTAATTTTTGCAGTACCCGACCTTCTACCTGAGTTACTTCACCAAGAAAACGGTGGTCCTGATCAACGTGGCCGCGTGGCTCATGTCCTCGTGCGTGTTCGGCATTCCGTGGAGCGGCGACTTCCACCGCACTGGGCACCGTCACGACGCGCACAACCGCACCGTGTGCATTCCGCAGTACCCGCCGGCGCTGTCCTTCACGTTCGCCGCCCTGTCCTTCGTCGTGCCCAGCGTCTGCATGATCGTCATCTACAACCGGCTGTACCAATACTCCAAGCGGACGACCCAGAAGTTCCAACTCATGTTCAAGACCCTGCAGATGAACTACCCTGACCTCGACCCCAAGATCCCCTTTCTCTCGGAGCAAAGAGCCACCAACACCATCGGCATCATCATGATCACCTTCATCGCGTGCTGGACACCCTTCTTTGTCTTGGTCATGGTCAGGGCGTTGAGCGACGGTTCATGCTGCCCTTCCTGGGTTTTTAAGGTGATTAAATTTTTAATTAAAGAAGGTGACTAAACTTGTTGAAGTTTTTATAGAAATTGAGAACAGTAAATTTTTATTTAAACACAAAACTTCAACAAAAGAAAGCCGGTTTATTCTTTTAAATTATTGTTATTTGATTTTAATATGATTTAAATCCACATTAGTTGGTCACTTGGATTGGATACTCGAATTGTGTGCTGAGCCCTCTGATCTACGCGTCAACGAACCAAATTTTCAGGGCGGCGTTCGCCAAGACCCTCGGCGTAATCAACCAAGAGACCTACGACAGGAAGGTCAGCGTCGAGGTCAGGCCTTCGAAGAGGAGCTCGAACGAGTCCGAGCAAATTGAGTTGAATTAATTCATTTCTTTATGTATTTGTGTTTTTAATGAAACTGCGTGTTAGAGTTATTTTAGAAGATGAAGCGTTTATTTTTTCAAGTCTGCGCTGCCGAGCTCGGAACTTGACGAATCATTTTTTAATGCGTGTGACTAAACAAATTTGAAAACGGAGAGCGCCAGTCAGAGGGCACTGCAAAAACACGAGTTATTACGGAATAATTTGGTGCCGCGGCAAAAATCTCATTTGCCTGACAGCGGCTTAATCTCTTAATCTCCCTTATTTAGCAAACATCGCCGCCTCTAAATCTTGTTCGCCTCGCTTGGCACGAGGGGGCCAGAAAAAATAATTCACCGCTGCTTTTTCTGTCGGCATAGCCAGGGTTTTTCATCAGCACTTGGTCTGCTTCAGGAAACGGCGGAATGCAGCTAGGCTGGCGTTCGCTGCGGTTTGCAAGAAAAAAGACGGAGTTTGCACAATGGAAGAAACATTCAATATAAAAATTAATTTTAATTTCAATTTTTGGGCGTTTCTTCAATATTATTTCACACATTTTAAATTTTTTGAAGCGTCCACGAAAAAATTAGTTTTGCCACTTTTTTCAATGAAATTGTTTCTTTACTACTGCTTGTTGTGTTCAAAATGGTACGAGTGGCTCTTTGTTGCTCGCATTCCGTGGGCCGCTAAAATTAGTTGAGCGAGTTGTGAGCGTGGGGTCCTGGGGACACGACAGGGCTGCGTCATTTGGCTTCTCTCATCGTTAAGTGGTGCTGTATCGCGACAATAGGAGCGTCTAAATTATCTGCATTATCATCGCCGCAGCGGCCAATTAAGTCAATGCCAAAGGGAGCAACTTCGCTCTGCTCCAATATTAGATTTTGCAAGAAGAAAGATTTGTTCCATTTATCAAAACCTAATTCATTATTTTAAAAGTGCAAACAGATTTTTGCAATTAAACATTTGCATTTTTTAACTAATGAGACTGAGGATAAAATTGCGTTTTGCCCAGAAAGTTGATTAAGATTTCATCACCTTTGAGTCGCTTCTGAGCGCTCGTTTTGATTGAATGTGGCTTAATTAAGCAGGTGCCGAATGAATTTCATCTTCATTTGAAATTTAAATGAGAACTTGTCGGTTTCGTCTCTCTCAGTAGTGGAGGTGCTTTGATTTTCGAATTCTGATTTCAACTAGGGATGCACGGCGACGAGCACTTTAGGAGATCTGCTGTGGTATTAAACTTGCAAATAAGTTTTGCGCCAAAATCACGGGAAACCATCAAAGGATGTGCATACTTGCAATCTTTTATGAGAGCACTTCGCACATTCAAGTGGATCCGATTCCTTTGAAAATAATATTATTATAAATTAGGTAAATCTTTCACAATAGTCAATCAAAACTATAAAAAAATATATAATGAGGATTTTTTCTAATTAATTTTCAAAAATTACCGGAGGAGAAATTTCTGCCAAAAATAAATTTAAGTACAAACAAAACACAAATTAATTAAAATGCAATTTAAAATTTAAATAGTCTCTAATACAAGATTTTTAAATCAAAATATGTGTATAAATACAAAATTTGAAAACAAATTCAATAAATTTTTATTCTCCAGACTTATAAAATTATTTGCAAATTTTCAATACTGTTTTAAAAGATTTAAACCATTAACAGTAAAACATTAACAGAGAAAAAATTAAATAATTTTTTCTCTGGCAGCTGTAAATTAAAAAAGAATGTGCCAAATCATCGTCAGGGTAAGCAAGTAAGCAGAATAATTGCCACTGATGAGATCATTATGTCGAAAAGAATTGTCTATGTCATGATAAACAAGCGTCTGAAGAGCGATCTCTCGCAGGATCACCGTGTCATAAATTTCATCCATTATAGGTGGTGAGCACAAAACAACTCTTGTGCTCGCGAATTAAATTCAAACGCTTTGTCATGACTCTGCACTTTTGATAATAAAATCCATCAAGCATTTAGCAGAAACGGTACGAGAGAGTTGTTGGTGAGAATCAACTGACTATTAACGCTTAACTCGTCCTCCATAAATCGTGGGTAAATAGACGCTTAATTATCTCTCTGCTGCTGGCCATATGTTTCGGCAGCCGAGACGTCGACGCGTCTTGTTAGTGCTTGGCATACTCACAAATCTAAACATAATTGAACACAAACGCCGCGTCTGGATAATTATCTTTGATTTTTTTAGTATTAGTTGCTTTGTATGTGTCAAATCTAGTTCAATTACATACAATTTTCAAGGTATTTTTTTTTTTTTTTTTTGTAGAAGTTAACAATTTTGATCAATTTATTTTCAAGAAGATATTTGATTAATTAATTAATTAATTTGTAAATCAATACAAATACAAATTTTGGAGAAGATTATTGTTTAATATAAATTTATTATAATAATTTCTAAATAATATACCAAGAACTAGATTATCTCGCTATGTTTGAAGTTATACTTTTATAATTAATTTCAAGTATCAGTGCTCTCTGCTTCATTTGTGGTATTTTTATAAGAAATTAAAACGTGTTTATCTGAATAGAATTAAAAACATTAAAATACCACCAAGACAATATAATATATACAAATAAAAAACTAAAAAATTAGTAATTTGGTAAATTAAAAAGTAAAATAGTATAAATTATTAATTAAAATAATTTAATATTTGCGTTTAATGTAATAATATAGTTAAAATTTAAAATATTAATTATTTTGATGTACATCATGTTTTATGTTTTCTACCTGCTTGTTTCGTAACAGACAAAATTATTAATATTATCTGAGGCTGTGTGCCGTAATTTCCTTCCGTCTCTGTGTCGTCGTCATCGTGTGTCCCTTCGACGTTACATCCCGGGTGCTGGCGTTGCATTTTTCTGCCGGACACCTCTCTGTTATGAATTAATTACTGGGCCGGGCGACATCTGCTTATCTCAGCGTGGACATCTCGAACCCATAAATTTCATGCACCGCCCGGCGCCCACCAGCCCAGCCCGGCCTCATTTGCATACATAGTCGAGCCGAAGTTTGCAGCGCGCGACTCTATTTTGCGCTCTCTACGTGTGTCACTCGACGCCCGGCGCAATTATGAATAAGTGAGAATGCGGCTTTTGTTGTTTCATTTGCATGCCGACAAAGCTGAATGCAAACAAAACCGCCGCCGCCGCGCCGACGAGCGTGCGTACGCAGCATTTAGCTCTCTTTGATAATTTGATATCGAATATAAGGGACAGCCCTGCATGAATTATTGGAGCGCCCGGGGGATTTTGTTTGAGAGCAAAATCAGCGTGGCTCAAAATAGCTCCCATCCCAACTATTATACAATTTATGCGTTGGTTATTTAGGTAAATACGGTAAATATACAGTTTTTAGAAAAAGCAATAAAACTTTTGTATTTTAAATCATTTTTTAGCCATTATAAGTTTCAAATCTGTTATATCTTTTATAATATAATTGTTATTCTTCTTTGTGTAAAATTCACTGGTTTTCAGATATTGAATGCAAACAATGTGATGTAACCGTTGGAGAAATAAACAATAATAATAATAATTATTTATTTGCAATGTAAATTTTTCTTAAATTTTTTTAACACACCCTATCATTACGAAATTATCTATCTATATTTTTCCATAACAAACTTAATTGAAAGAGTGATTGACGAGGAAGTTAATCGCTTTTGTCACTTGTTAGTTAACATTTGACTCTTGCGTCGGTTCAACTGCGCTGGTTACTCATGGCGCGGAGGGGCGAGCAGTGCATTATTTTGTGTTATTTGCTTAATGCCTTTTTAATCAGGCTAATGAGTCAGAGTTTTTGGTCACCTGCCAGCAGCGCCAAAGCAGCGCTGTGGGGCCGACTGTAAATCAATCAATCTTGCAGCTTGTGCGCGATGTGATAAACGATCGCGTGCACCAGAAATTCTTAATGAGAGAGGGACTGGGAATGCACGAAATGCAACCGACAAAAAATGCAAATGTCGTGTCAAGCGAAGGAGCAGCAGCAGCAGCGGAGACCATGCATTTTGTAATTATGACGTTTTGTAGAGGGTCGAGCGTTGATTAAATTTGTTCGGGGTGGAAATGATTCCTAAAAGAAAACATGTTTTGGATAAAAAAGTAAATAAATTTTTTTGAATTAAAAACACAAAAATTTCATGTTGAAAGGAGTTGATGAAAAATATTTGATTTTTTTTCACAATATTTAGTTTCAATAAAGTAAGTGGAAAATTATTTTTACTGAAAATCATTCAATATTTGTTGAAATTTGTAATGATAAGAATAATTTATTTAGGAAACTATAATATTCTTTCGATAGAAGAGTTGCAATAAATTTTTTCTCAAATAAAATCGCTCTACTAGTATTCATTCATCTGTACGCAAAGGTATTTCCAGACTTCTGAGAATTTATTCGGGTGCAGGGGCGGCCCCGAGAAATACAATATTTCAATGAATCAGCGGATTAAAGGATTTGCATGCGAGATTTCTGCTCATTTTCGCCGGGAAAGGTGCGCGCCTCTGGAATCGTGCTGACACTTTTCCTTATTTTCCGCCGGACGGTTGGTTGGTCGGTCGGTTGGTTTTGGGCGAGGGTGGAAAGGATTTTGCTCCTTTGGGACTGGAAATTTATGGCCGGTCGGCGTGGTGGCGGAAAAAATATAAAAAGGGAAAACCGGCGGCCACTGCATAAATATCACGAGGACAAACACTGCTCAATATTCACTGCAGACAAACAAACAAACAATATTCCGGGATTATCGAATCGCTGCCCGTCTTCCTACTCAGCCCTTCCCTATGGCGCAACTTGGCCTGCAGATTTATAAGGAAGAAGAGCAGGGAAAAGGCTTATCGTCTTGAAAGTTCCAGCTATTCCCTACTGACACAGATTTTCGGAATAAGAAACAAGACGAGACGAAAAACTTGACACATAAAAATTGCATGAAATCCTTTGACAGTTTAAAAAAATGAAATCTAAAGGTTCTGAGAACTAATTAAAAAGAGACAGTTTCCTCTTCTAACGCACGTGACATGTGTGAAATCTCATTTTGAAACTCCA